TTTTTGTGTTTAAAGAATAAAAAAATCAAGTTTGAGATAAACAGAAAATAAGTTTGATTTATTTTTATTTGTGTATGAGAGAGAGATATTTATTATATTTTTTATCGAAGTGTTAATCTTTTTTTTGTCCTTTAGTAAATGTGAATGTGTGAGGTAGACTGCACTTTTTGACCTAAATTCTATATTTTATTAACTTAATCTTCAGAAGTTTTTTTGTTAAGCCAAATTCTAATGGGTTTTAATATTTGATTTATACTTCATTATTGAACTCTAAAATTTGGAGTTTTTTTAGGTGTGAAGCCTAAAGCCTACGCTTTTTTGGGTCTATTGTTGAGCTGGCCATAGATATGATTAGGTCTGTCAAAGTGCGACAAGATACGATTAATCAACACGAAATTAAGAGGGTTTGGGTGATGCCTTATCTGGGTTCGGGTGATAAAAAGATTAATCTACCAAACATGTTTAATAAATAAGTCGTGTTTTGGTGAGATATGTCAACTTATTTATCATCCGTTTATTCGTTTAAATAAATTAATATANGAATCAACCAACTTATTTAGCACATGTGAAAGTAATTGGTCAATAGCCATTTTGGGGAAATAAATATAAATTTAAAGAAAGTAAATATAAAAGATTTCAATGTGAATTTTCCAGCAATTTTCCGGTANTTGGAGAAATAAATATAAATTTAAAGAAAGTAAATATAAAAGATTTCAATGTGAATTTTCCAGCAATTTACCGGAAAATTGCTGGAAAATTCACTGTTGACACAAGAATGAGGACGAAATTAAGTGTACTTCATAAGTGTGTTCTCAGCCATTGCCTTAATTTATTCAAAATCTTGCTCAGGAAGAATCCTTATGTTGCACTTAAATTTCTTCTTCTTATCTTCTCGAATCATTGCGTAATCGTTTTTGAAAATATTACAGATTCGAGTTCTTCAACACTTTCAATATCAATAATGTTTAGAGACTTTCCTAGTCTTCTTCCTCCATTGTTTCCTCAGTTCTAAAGGTTCAATAACTTCAATGTTTGCGAAATGATTTATTTTTAATGTTTTAGTGGTTTTGAGATTGGCAAACAATACATTAGGTATAATTGTGAAGTCAAGATAAAAAAATTGAATGAAGTTTTAAAAAAATAACAAGAGAGCTAAAGATAAGGATAAAGAACCAATGCAAAACAACTGAGGTAGCAGGGAGAGAAAAAGTTAGAGAGAGGCGACAATAGTGAAAGTAAAAAAAAAAGTGAAAAGAATTTGAAAGAGATTTCTACATTTAAAGCTAGAAATTGTTAGTTCTAGATTTTTGTAGAGGTTTTGTTATATTTTGTAACTTTATATAATGTTTTACATAAACTTGTGAAAATATTATTATATTTTAGAGTTTTTTATAAAATTTTAGATAACTTATGAAATATATTGAACTTTTAACTTAGTACAGTCAAAAGGGTTTTAGAGTATGAAGGTGAACTAAGGATTAAAAATTAAATTGGGCCCCCAAATTTTTAGGACCTAGGTGACTATTTTAATGGTCAGACCCTTAAGTTTGGCCTTTATATGCCTCTTTTCATTCAACGGATCGAAGTGTTTGTATATCTTGTAACAATTGTAATCTATGTTCATCTCTCATTGTTGAGTTTTTGTCCATAGAATTGATTAAGTGAGACAAATTAATTACTGTATGACACGCAATGATTAAAGGTAAAATATGGGTTGTTTCGCTTTTTTTTTTTAATTTACCAAAAATAATGTGGATCGTTATAAGGTATACAGATGTTTAATATTAAAACGTGGCGTCACATAATTTTTTTTTTTAATAATTTAGGTATTTAATATATATTATATATTATATATGTGTTATTTCATACACATGTTATCTGTGTGCAACTGTTTAATAGTATAATCTATAGGAATTGTAAATATACATAAAGTATTATGACTAAGTACACTCTTTTTTTCAAACAGATATGACTAAGTACACTTTTTCTTGACAAATAGATTCATATATTTGTTTGTCTCTTTCATCTTTTGCTTGAACCACGCTTTTCAGAATATAAAATACCGTTTCATTATTATTTTTATGTTCTTCATGAAAATTATGGTATTGCATTATAGACTATCATTATCCATTCATAATTTCTTGTTATCTTATTGCTTAATTATTTTTTATTTTTCTTATGATCATTAATTTGTTTATGTATGCAACCTTCAACTACTGGTTTATTGTATTTTATTTTCTCTAATAATAATTTTATTAAATTTTTTTTTTGATATTAATTAGTTTTTATTGTCAAAATTTTATGATAATAAATAATTTAATTAGTTAGTATTTTTGTGTTTAAAGAATAAAAAAATCAAGTTTGAGATAAACAGAAAATAAGTTTGATTTGTTTTTATTTGTGTATGAGAGAGAGATATTTATTATATTTTTTATCGAAGTGTTAATCTTTTTTTTGTCCTTTAGTAAATGTGAATGTGTGAGGTAGACTGCACTTTTTGACCTAAATTCTATATTTTATTAACTTAATCTTCAGAAGTTTTTTTGTTAAGCCAAATTCTAATGGATTTTAATATTTGATTTATACTTCATTATTGAACTCTAAAATTTGGAGTTTTTTTAGGTGTGAAGCCTAAAGCCTACGCTTTTTTGGCTCTATTGTTGAGCTGGCCATAGATATGATTAGGTTTGTCAAAGTGCGACAAGATACGATTAATCAACACGAAATTAAGAGGGTTTGAGTGATGCCTTATCTGGGTCGGGTGATAAAAAGATTAATCTACCAAACATGTTTAATAAATAAGTCGTGTTTAGGTGAGATATGTCAACTTATTTATCATCCGTTTATTCGTTTAAATAAATTAATATAATATTAAATTAATAATTATTTTACAAAAATTAGGCAAAATAATAATTTTTTATAGAGATAACCACAGAAAATTTATAACTCAAACTAAAAACAACTTCCCTAATTTCAAACCCTAACTCTGTCTTCTCTTGTTCTTCGTTACGACTTGCAACATTGCACCTCTTTCCTCCATGGCTGAAGCCTGAAGCCAACTAAAGTACATCATCTTCGGCTTCTTCTTTCTCTCTCAGCTCGACGAACGGAGACGAACAGTTTGACACTCAAAACTCTAATTTAGGGGTTTCTTCTCTTCTACTATTTTTTTTTTTTTTAAACCGATAAACAACCTAAAGCTTTGTGTCTTTATTAACCAACATCAAGAGTACAAAATCAACACCGTACATATGATTTCAAGACCTTCACGGACAAACCAAATACTTTTGACTTAAAATGAATTAAACGAGTTTTGTCGCTGTGTAACCTATTTATTAAACGAGTCATGTACTGTATATAATTTTTTTATTCATTTATTAAATATACGTAATCACTTAATCTGACATGATTAACACCTCTAAATATGATTTGAAAGCTTTATCAGAGTGGCTATGTGAGTATGAGCTTGGTGAGGACTAGGTGTCATGATATGTGATATGGGAGGGTTGAGAGGTTTGATCGGAGAGATTGAGATGTGTGATTTGAATTTTGAACAGGGGCTTTGCATTTTATACAGAGGAGGGTTAGGGTCGATGGCCTCAAAATGCCCGCATTTTTTACCGCCTAGTTAATACGGCACCGTTCCCATTGAAAAAACATGCCGCATAACTTTATTCTAAAAAAGACAAACGCCTCCGTTTTATTAAGCTGTACAGATATAAGGAGAAAAAGAAAAACTTAACCTCAAAATGGTTTAAGCGAGAATTTTTCTGTCCATATAATATTTTATTTCTATCGGCTAAGGTGAAAAAACGAGCAATGCTACAGGGACCTTATTAGGGGATTTAATTTGAAAATCTAATGATGTGGCTTTAATATAACCATTAGATTAGTTGTGAGTTCCAATGTTAGATGGAACCCACAACTAATCCAATGATTGTATTAAATTAGGTTTTTAAATTGAGTTCAAATAACATTTTTCATGAAAAAATGTTGAATATTATTAATTGGGGTGGATTAATATTTTTTCATGAAAATTTAGGATTTTGATGCTTATGCTATAATTAATTGATGGATAAAACTATATATCCCAAATAAGTATAAATAATGCTCTCATTTCCAAACCCAGTTGAAAGAAAATGTGACCTACACTGTTATTTTGTAAGTTTTTTTTTTTTTTTTTTGGGTTAATTGGATTTGAGGTCCTCAAAATACTGAGTTTGTTTCATTTTCGTCTTTAATATTTCAATTATATTTTTTTAATTTTTAAAATATTAAATATATTTCTATGTAACTCATCAAACACACATTGTTTAAATTGCTAAAATTTTTTTATAGAGCTAGAATTAGGTAGATCAACAAGGATACCTAATTGATTTTGAGACCAATCCATTATAATTAGAGGTCGAGATGAATCGCGATTACTAACTGATGATATCAAAAATTGTCTTTAGAAAGTATAAGGAGAATGATGGCTGAGACTGATCTCCAAACATTAATCAGTAAAGATTGGAACAATCAATCTTTTTTTGGGTAGTTTACTCCATTTTCTATTACATGGTTCGGGTTACCAAAACAATTTCATTGTTTGTGGTGTAAGATTGTGTAAATATAATGTTTTTTAGATTTCATAATTGTGCCAATCTCGTATATTTAATAATTATTTTCAGTCAGTATTATATAATTCACTCGTTATTGAAATTAAAAAGAAAATAAAAGTTTAATGGGCATAATTTCGTTATTGAAATTAATTGAAAATTATTTACATTTGTTCTGACAAAAAATTACCCAAATGCTGAAAAGAACCCACAAAAAACAAGTCAACTGCGCTCAAACCCAAGTCTTTTTTTTTTTTTTTTTGGTACATAAACCCAAGTCTTCACCAAGAAGAAAGAAACATGTTTCCTTTACTTCCTCACTCTAACAAATAACATTTTCCATCGGCCGGAGAGAGAGAAAGTGAGAAACAGAGTGCAAAGAGAAAGAAAAGTCCACCGAAAATGCATTTCCGTCGATTCATTTTCTTCATCTTCCTCGTCCTCAACCTCTACTGTCCCTGTCAGGTACGTACTCAGTTGCAGACCTTTCTCTCTCTCTAAAACCCTAATCCCACTCTATGCTTGTCTCAGGCACAGTCATCATCGATAGAGATCGATGATCGCCTCTCCGTCAGACTCTCTTCCCCGTTCTCAATCGCACTTGAAACCCTCCAGGGACTAATCGAGTAAGATTTTCTCTAGGTTCCCCCAACTTTCTCACCAACCAAACACACTCTGATGTCTTTTTCTTCGTTTTGATTTTGCAGATATAATTTTACGGACATCGGTCTGCTACGACGCGCGATGACTCACTCTTCGTACTCGGAAGAGAACAACAGAGCTCTGAGCATTTTGGGCGAGAGTGTGATCGAGACTTGGGTTTCGCTTCGGCAACTGACCAAAGACATTGACGTTTCGCCGCAAGATCTGAACACTCTGATATCGGAGGTATCGGAAGTGGAGACGTCGTGCGCCGTTGATGGAATGAAGTTGAAGTTGCAGAACATAGTTAGGGTTTCGCCGAAAACTGATCCGTCGACTCCATCGGTGGTTTGTGGTGCTTTCCGGGCGATGTTTGGGGCTATTGCGGTGGATACAGGAAAGGCAGATGTGGGTGGGAGCAAATTCGGAAGTGTTCATGAGAAATTTGGAAGAGCTCGTGCAGTGTGAGTTGAAATCAATCTATCTAACTATCATCACTATGCTATAATAGGACTATCTTATTGATAGGGTTTTGTGATTATGCATAAAATGTTGCTTAATGCTTGGCTGAATTGAGGTTATGAGTGATGTTTTGTGAAGAACACTTGCTTCTGTGATGCAGTATAATTGTACAGTCTAGTATATGGTAATCTGAGTGGAGATATGTAATTAAGGATGGTGGTTAATGATGCTTTGTGATATGTATTTCTGTGGCTTTATGTTAAAATTTGTGTCTTTTTAGCAGTAATATTGTGCTAAATTTGTTCAAGTTTGTTGGGGTAGGGTGGAGAGTTTCAGAGCAATTTCTGACTAGTTTGTCATGGTACAGTCAAGGATCAAAATTTTATTTTGAAATGGTTGAAACTTTTTTATTTTCGAAAAGACCGAAACGGATGAGTGATGGGATTAAAATTTTGAGATGTTTTGACCANAAATTTTATTTTGAAATGGTTGGAATTTTTTTATTTTCAAGAAGACCGAAATGGATGAGTGATGAGATTAAAATTATAATATTTTGAGATGTTTTCACGAGTTTTCACATTGTTCGGAATGTTTTAATATGTTTTAGTGTATTTCAACTAATATTTCAAAATATTTTAGAAATAAATTCTTAATTTTTTTCTTTTTTTTAATTATATATTTGAAATGTTTTTGAAAAGTGATTAAAACAAGACACCAAAATAAAATTTTGATCCCGATGAGAATTCATATTAGATAACTAATTCATATCTATTGGTATGTATGTATTTGAGAACCAAATATGTTCCGTGGTGGATGGTCAAAAACGAATGAAACCTTGGAAAACCGACTTATAGTATTAATTATTTATTGGTAAGGAAAATTATTTATATTTGTGCACACACATAGGGGTGGGCACTAACTCCGACGGAGTCGGAACCATGAATTCTGACTCTTGACTATTGTCGGAATAATCTTTTGCCTCCAACTCCGCCCCAATTCCGATTGGCAAAGTTAGATCGGAGTTTCAAATTCTGTTTACAATTCACTATCGAGTCTTCTGTTCAAGCTTCACCGTCGACGACAGTTTCTCCTTCTCCAGATGTCAGAGATGAGATGAGAGAGAGTTGAGAGTGAGAGAAAAATGTGGTGTATGGAGGCGTAACAGGCGTTAGGGTTTGATAATAATATTTATATATTATAATTAAAATAAAATTATTAATAAATAGTTAGAGTTGGATGTTTTTTAGAATAGGTTTTGGACTCCGTCTACGAACAGAATTTTCCACTGTCCTCCGAATTCAACTCTGACTTTGACGGAGGCGAAATCGGTTTGGAGTTGGAGTCCGTGGTAGATTTTCAAATAGTTGCATACTCTTACACACATATGTGTTTACGTATATATATTACATGAATCTGAGTGTTCCCAAATCTTGTAGTGGCAAGAGTTTAGTGTATTGAGCTGTCCGTTCGCATGAATCATACTGGGAATATTATCTTACTAGTTGCAAAACCAAAGCTTTGGAGCTTTCTTTCGATAGGTTGGGTATAATCCGTGATCTGTTTGTGGAAGAAATATGTGTTCTACTCACTTCTAAGTATTGTTATAGTGCAGAAAATTTTGAGCAAGTTTTTTCACCAACAGAAGGAATAGATCATTTCATTTTACTCTACTTTTTTGTGTTTATTAACTATTGTCAGTAGTAGATGTTTGAGTGTATGATTGTGAGTAGAATTTGAGGCCACACAGAATTATTGCAATCTAAAATTTAGGGTATTGTCAAGAAAAAAGGGGAACGAACTAGAATTTCGTGATTAAGTAGGTTCTACACTTCATTGGGTTGTGATTTGATTGATTGAATAGTTTTTTCTTTTTTTTTTTTTGGACTAAATTCACTTTGCACCTTAAAAGATTTTTCGATTCTCAATTTGTACTCTCAAACATTAAAAATTTTAATGTTTGCACTCAATGATCTGAATTGGTAGCAATGTGGACTTGACTTAACATGCTGTTTAGTATTTCGCCATAAATTGAACACGGGAGGTGCAAGTGTTTCGGGTATGAGAATGAAGTATGTTTATCATTACAGATTTTCGTTTGTGATCAATTTGTAACCGTTTTGTGTATTGAAAATAGAGTTTGATTTTAATCAGATAGAGGGTAACTCTATCATATGAAGCTTATGTGAAACATTAACGGTCTGTGAATTTATATATAAACTCATGCTTAAAGCATTTGCAATTTATATGGTTCAATTTATTACGAAAAATTGAACAGGAGTGTGAGTAAGATTCACATTACTATCAATTTATAAAATTTTGAGTATAAATTGAGTTTTTAAGGTTTGAAGTTACAAATTAAGAATCAAAGTATCTTTCGGGCTACAAAACAAGATTAACCCCCTGTCCCCCTCTTTTTTATTTTATTTTTATTGTTTTTGTGTTTCGCACAATAATCTTTCAGTTGGACATTGGTTTTCTGTGTCTTTGGATGTTGGATGATCTCTTTCTATGTGGTCCTATGATACAACTAAAAAACTTTTAGGGACGAATGAACATGACATTTTCTTCATATTGGAGGAGTGTTTCAATATCATCCCTCTGTTTTTTGGCCCAAAAAAATGTGTCGTGCATACATTCTTTTTTTCTTATTTAATCATTTTTTTAATCAATGATTATTTATGATGCACAAAATTGATTATGTATAATCAAATTAGTCGGGTATGTGATGTAAAATAATTAATAATAAAAGACAAAAAATGTATAGTTGAGTTTGGGTGACCTAATTACAGAAGGCGACAACGGTAGTTGGAGAATTTTAGGAAATATAAGGTAGTAGGAGGGAGAGGGAGAGATAGAGCAAAAGTACTCTCAAGGTGAAGTGTGTGAGATTTGCCTTTGTGTAAAGGGATTTATAATTTATAGGCACAGAACCCTAGATATGGAGGTAACATGAAGATCAAGTTACTAATTTATCGAAAAAAATAACTATAATTGGGAATGAACACCATCTTAGAGTAATAGTTATTTCGATTATTGTTCTCTCACGTGCGTTAACTCTTCCTAAACTCTTGAGCTTGGGACTAGACAGAAGTAATGAGCAAAATTTCGTCTGTCTTTTTTATGATTAAGACTCAACTCAAGAATTAGATTCAAACCTAATATAAATCTGGGCTCCTCAATTATAGTTTATCGAATTTGAAAATCAACAATCTAGATTGGAGCGATCAATCTTTTTTTTGGGTAGTTTGCTTCACTTTCTATTAAATGGTTCGAGTTATCAAAACAATTTCATTGTTTGTGGCGTAAGACTGTATTAGTATAATGCTTTTTATTGTGCCAATCTCGTATCCTTCATAATTATTTTCAGTCAGTGTTATATAATTCACCCGTTATTGAAATTAAAAAGAAAACAGAAAATAAAAGTTTAGTGGGCAAAATGAATTTAGTTTTGTGGATTTATTCGTTTGTTATATAACGAAAAATTACACAAAAGTGACTGATTTTATGGTTTATATAATTTAATCGAAAATTATTTACATTTGTTATGTCAAAAATTTACCCAAATGCTGAAAAGAACCCCTAAAAACAAGTCAACTGCGATCAAATCCAAGTCCTCCAAAAAGAAAGAAACATGTTTCCTTTACTTCCTCACTCTTAACAAATAATATTTTCCATCGGCCGGAGAGAGAGAATGAGAGACAGAGTGCAAAGAGAAAGAAAATCCCAATCAAAGTCCACCGAAAATGCATTTTCGTCTATTCATTTTCTTCATCTTCCTCGTCCTCAACCTCTACTGTCCCTGTCAGGTACGTACTCAGTTGCAGACCTTTCTCTCTCTCTAAAACCTTAATTACACTCTATGCTTGTCTCAGGCACAGTCATTATCGATAGAGATCGATGATCGCCTCTCCTTCAGACTCTCTTCCCCGTTCTCAATAGCCCTTAAAACCCTCCAGGGACTAATCGAGTAAGATTTTTCTCTTTGTTTCTGTTGGTACAAATTCTTGCACAATTCAAGGATTCTGACGGATTAGGGTTAACCTTGGGCGACCCCCAATATTATTTACCTTTCGGTGCTCGTGTGAAACTTTGTCCACATCAACTAAAAGTCGTCTCCTCCTGATCATATAAGCCTTGGCCTCAATGGAGAAGGTACCCATTGAGGCCAAGGCCTTATATGGCAGGAAAAAGACGACTTGTAATCAAGTGGTTAGTGGGTACCTCATCTTTTGAGGTCAAGGACTTATATGGCAGGGAAAAATGACTCTCGATCGATGGAGGGACAATGAGAGGTAAAGACTATTGGGGGATCACACCAAAGGGGGTCACTAAAGGGTTAACCTAGGCCGGCCAGAAACCTTGAGTTGTGCAAGAATTTGTACAAATAGTTTCCCCCAACTTTCTCACCAACCAAACACTCTCTGATGCTGCGCTNTCTAGGTTCCCCCAACTTTCTCACCAACCAAACACACTCTGATGTCTTTTTCTTCGTTTTGATTTTGCAGATATAATTTTACGGACATCGGTCTGCTACGACGCGCGATGACTCACTCTTCGTACTCGGAAGAGAACAACAGAGCTCTGAGCATTTTGGGCGAGAGTGTGATCGAGACTTGGGTTTCGCTTCGGCAGCTGACCAAAGACATTGACGTTTCGCCGAAAGATCTGAACAGTCTGATATCGGAGGTATCGGAAGTGGAGACGTCGTGCGCCGTTGATGGAATGAAGTTGAAGTTGCAGAACATAGTTAGGGTTTCGCCGAAAACTGATCCGTCGACTCCATCGGTGGTTTGTGGTGCTTTCCGGGCGATGTTTGGGGCTATTGCGGTGGATACAGGAAGGGCAGATATGGGTGGGAGCAAATTCGGAAGTGTTCATGAGCAATGTGAGTTGAAATCAATCTATCTATCTATCATCACTATGCTATAATATGACTATCTTATTGATGGGGTTTTGTGATTATGCATAAAATGTTGCTTAATGCTTGGCTGAATTGAGATTATGAGTGATGTTTTAGGTGAAGAACACCTTCTTTTTTTTTTGGCGGGAGCGGGAGGGGGAGGGGTGAAGGGCTCGAACCCTTTACCTCAAAAAGGCAAAGAGGTAAGGAATGCCCTTGGTTTTAGGTGAAGAACACTTGCTTCTGTGATGCAGTCTGATTGTACAGTCTAGTATATGGTAATCTGAGAGGAGATATGTAAGTAAGGATGGTGGTTAATGATCCTTCGTGATATGTATTTGTGTGGTTTATGTTAAAATTTGTGTCTTTTTAGCAGTAATATCGTGCTAAATTTGTTCAAGTTTTTTGAGGGAGGGTGGAGAATTTCAGAGCAATTTCTGATTAGTTTTTCATGGTTCGGGATCAAAATTTTGTTTCAAAATAGTTGAAACGTTTCTGTTTTCAAGAGGACCGAAATGAATGAGTGATGAGATCAAATTAATAATATTTTGAGATGTTTCGACATGTTTTCACATTGTTCAGAATGTTTTGAGATGTTTTGGTGTATTTCAACTAATATTTTAGAAATAAATTCTTAATTTTTTTCTTTGTTTTTATTAGGAATCTCCATGAATAGGATTAAACCTTATCCCATGGTATTTACATGAGGTTCTCTTTCATATTCTTAAGAAAATCCTTGAGAGCGCTTAATTGTTTCATGATTTATGTTTCATCTTTCGTTTTTTTTTTCATTTGTTTCGAGAAATATATTGATAAATTCCGATTTTTTGTTTTCGAAATATTTTCGTTTTCTAAGCAATCAAAACAGGGCACCAAAACAAAATTTTGATCATTGAGTTTAGTTGACCAATGAGAATTCATATTAGATAACTAATTAATCTCTATTGGTTTCTATGTATTTGAGAACAAAATATGTTCCATGGTGGATGGTTAAAAACTAATGAAACCTTGGAAAACCCACTTATAGTACTAATTATTTATTGGTAAGGTAAATTATTTATATTTATGCACACACATAGGGGTGGGAACCGACTCGGACGGAATCAGAACCATGAATTCTGACTCTAACTATTGTCAGAATAATTTTTTGCCTCCGACTCGGCTCTGATTCTGATTGGCGGAGTCAGATCAGAGTTTTGAATTTGGGCCAATTTTTACTCTGTTGATATTTGGGGATTTAGGGTTCCATTTTTGGCTAATAGTTGCAGAAGTGAAGAACGAGAGAGAGAGAATGAGACAACAAAGAACGAGATAGAAAAAGGCTTACCAGAAAGGCTTCACAGTTGTCATCTGTTCAGACTTTACTGTCGAGTCTTTTGTTCAAGCTTCACCGTCGACGACATTAAGTTCTCCTTCTTCAGATGGCATAGATGAGAGTGACGAAGGCGGAATCGGTTCGGAGTTGAAGTCAGTGTTAGATTTTTAGATAGTTGCACACCCTTACACACACACACATATATATATATATTACGTGAATCTGAGTGTTCCCAAATCTTGTAGTGGTGAGAGTTTGGTGTATTGAGCTGTCCTTTCGCATGAATCTTNGTGTTTACGTATATATATTACATGAATCTGAGTGTTCCCAAATCTTGTAGTGGCAAGAGTTTAGTGTATTGAGCTGTCCGTTCGCATGAATCATACTGGGAATATTATCTTACTAGTTGCAAAAACAAAGCTTTGGAGCTTTCTTTTGATAGGTTCGATATAATCCGCGATGTGTGTGTGGAAGAAATATGTGTTCTACTCACTTGTAAGTATTGTTATAGTGGAGAAAATTTTGAGCAAGTTTTTTCACCAACAGAAGGAATAGATCAATTCATATTACTCTACTTTTTTGTGTTTATTAACAATTGTCAGTAGTAGTTGGTTGAGTGTATGATTGTGAGTAGAATTTGAGGTCGCAGAATTATTGCAAGCTAAAATTTAGGGTATTGTCAAGAAAAAAGGGGAACGAACTAGAATTTCGTGATTGAGTACACTCTAAACTGTAAAGCAGGTGGTCAGCTATGAGGTGAACCAGTATGAAATACTTCTTCTTTTGTGATGTATATTTGATGGGGAGACTGCTGTAAAGAAAATTATGATGCAATTGGGTCAAGTTACGACTCCATGAGGTTGATTAAAATTTTGATTCAGTAAGAATCTATTAGAATCGGTTTCATCTTTTGATACAATGGAGCCGTAAACTTCATTGGGTTGTGATTTGATTGATTGAATACTTCTTTTTTTTTTTTGGGACTAATTTCACTTTGCACCTTAAAAGATTTTTCGATTCTCAATTTGTACTCTCAAACATTAAAAATTTTAGTTTGCATTCAATGATCTGAATTGGTAGCAATGTAGACTTAACCTAACATGTTGTTCAGTTTTTCGTCATAAATTGAACACGGCAAGTGCAAGTGTTTCGGATATAAAGATGAGGTATATTTAATGTTACAGATCTTCGTTTGTGATTAATTCGTACCCGTTTGTGTATTAAAAATAGAGTTTCATATGCAACTTACGTAAAACGTCAACGGTCTGTGAATTTATACATACATTCATGCATGAAGTATTTGCAATTTTCATGGTTCAATTTATGACGAAAAATTGAACACGAGTGTGAGTAAGGTTCACATTGTTACAAATTCATAAAATTAAGAGTACAAATTTAGATTTTTAATGTTTGAAATTAAAAAATCAAAGTATCTTTTGGAGTGCAAAATGAGCTTCTTCACCCCCCCCCCTTTCCCCCTTTTTTTTTTTTTTTTTTAAAGTTTTGTGTTTCGCACAATAGTCTTTCTGTTGGACATTGGTTTTCTATGTCTCTGGATGTTGGATGATCTCTTTCCATGTGGTCCTATGATACAACTAAAAAAATGTCGGGAACGAATGAACATGACATTTTCTTCATATTGGAGGAGTGTTTCGATGTCGTACCTCTGTTTTTTGGCCCTTAAAAATGTGTCAAGTATACATTTTTTATTTTATTTTATTATTTTTTCAATCAATGGTTATTTATGATACATAAAGTTGAGTATGCACAATTAAATTAGTCGAGTATATAATGTAAAACAATCAATAATAAAAAATAAATATTGGATAGTTGGGTCTGGATGACCTAACCAGTGAAGGCAACAACGGTGGCCAAAAATTTTTAGAGAATATAAAATAATAGGAGAGGGAGAGAGAGAGAGTAAAAGTACTCTCGAGTTAAAGTGTGTGAAGTGTGCGAGATCTGTCTTTATGTGTAAGGGAATTTACAATTCATAGGCACAAAATCCTAGATATGATGGTAACGTGAAAATCAAATTACTAATTTATCGGAAAAAATAACTACAATTTGGGATAGACACTATCTTGGAGTAATAATTATCTTGATAATTATTCTTTCACGCGTGTTAACTCTTTTTAGACTTTTGAACTTGGGACTACACTGACGTTATGAGTTAAGTCTCGTCTGTCTTTTAATGATTTGAACTTAACTCATGAAATAGATTCAGACTTAATCTAAATCCAGTTATAGTTTATCGAATTCGAAAATCAACGATCTAGATTTTTTTTGTCACTTTACAGCGGAGGTACTGTAGTCATACCCTGTCACTTTGATAGGCTGTTGGACTTGGACATGTCCGGTTAAAACTTATAGTTGGTGGAACCTAATTGTAGGTTAAGTGTCATTTGTTTGCATACCTGCGATTTGATAAATGTCGATTTCAATGATCTACTCGGTCGGTTGTCTGTTGCTCATTTTGATGCTTGCAATCTCCAATTTTGCTGAGGTCTAGCTCCCCTGTTCTTTTTCGTGGCCTCATGAAAGAAACGTTAATGACATAAAATGAGGAGTAAATTACGCAGATAGTCCTCGAGTTATAACTCTTGTGTCAATTAAATTTTTGAATTTTTTTATTATGTTAATTCAGTTTTTGAACTCTCTAGTTATATTAATTGAGAATTTACATTTGCCTCCATCAATTTTTTTACCAGAAAGTAGTGAAATGTGTCACTCACGTGACACAAATGATTGAAATAAACTACATATATAATCTTCAAACTATGAATATTATATCAATTATGGTCTTGGATATTATTTTTTTTTTATATCAATTGAGTCCCTAAACTTTCTAATAGTGTGAACTGAGTTCTTTTGTCATTTTCTATTATATGGTCATGTAAGTGGCACACTCTAACGAAGGTATGTAGAAGGACTCAATTGATACAATCAGAGAGTTCATGTACTCAATTGACACTGGTTTAGGGGCTCAATTGATACAATAAAATGTTTAGGAGTTTAGTTGGTATATATATATATATTTATTTATTTATTTTGATTTTTTAGTATTAATTAATTTTAATATAACTCATTTAATTACTTGTATTTTGTTCATGTTCATGTTCATGCGAATAACCCAAGAATCAGTAACTAGGACTAAGACATTCTCTCTCCAATCTCAACCAAACTCCTTACTAATAATAGGTTTTCAAAATCTCAAAATTTAATCCATATGATAGTAAAAACCAAGTAAAACAATTCTTTCGTTTTATGAGGAATTCTTCAGAGTGGAACAACAATTAGGTCGCAAAGAACGATCGGACGATCATCATCAATCTTCATTATAGCTCAAAAATAATTAATTAATAAGCACTTATAGAACTGTATATTCAGATAGAATTTTGATTGATCCAAATGCAATTTGAAAACACAAATTGAATTCATTTCCAAAGAAATTAATCCTCACAGTTAGTATTCAAATCTTTTTAAAAAATAAAAGTCGATTTGACTTAAATAATTAAATCATAGCAGAATTTTAAGAAATTACATTTTAATTTCAAAATAATATTATTAAATAATCACTATATTTTAATTAATATGTATATACAAAGATATTAAATCACAATCAAATCGAGTAGTAGTATATCAATCTCTATATAAATATGTGTATAATATTNAAAAGTCGATTTGACTTAAATAATTAAATCATAGCAGAATTTTAAGAAATTACATTTTAATTTCAAAATAATATTATTAAATAATCACTATATTTTAATTAATATGTATATACAAAGATATTATATCACAATCAAATCGAGTAGTAGTATATCAATCTCTATATAAATATGTGTATAATATTTTTTGGCTGACTTTTTAATTGGAGAAGAATCTAAATAATTTTAAAATTTTACATAAAATCTAAAAAAAAAAATTAAAATTAGAGTAGGGGCAACTAAGTTTCTAAAATTTTTATATAAAATCTAAAAAATTTTAAAATTGGAGCCCCCTTCCTAAATTCGGAGTAAATATTGAACGTAACAGTTACGTCGTATCAGCAATGTTAATATGGGATAAACATCTAGTAAGAAAATTATAAAATAGAGCTCATTTCTTATCATAGAGATAATTATGTGTTACATAATTGAGCGATCATAAATTTTTATAAGACTCACTTATTAATTTTTTCATTAATAAATAAATAATTATATCATGGGATACTTTTAACGTGGTATAACGGTTATGTCCTCTATTTTTTCCTAAAGCGGCCGCTGCTTAAATTAATTATTTAGAAAACAAAAACCTAAATCCACCCTATGNAGCTCATTTCTTATCATAGAGATAATTATGTGTTACATAATTGAGCGATCATAAATTTTTATAAGACTCACTTATTAATTTTTTTATTAATAAATAAATAATTATATCACGGTATACTTTTAACGTGGTATAACGGTTATGTCCTCTATTTTTTCCTAAAGCGGCCGCTGCTTAAATTCATTGTTTAGAAAACAAAAACCTAAATCCACCCTACGATTCATAGTTGCCGAACGATAATACGACATCGCAGCGCTGGCAAATAAACATCCGGGACCCACATCACATAAGATCAAATTCTTTAAGAAATGATTGGCTGTTGACACCAAAGCCTGACTTGCAACAAAGCTACAACGGCTCCATCCATACGTAATTTACCTAAATACCCTTAGGCGCCAGTTTTGGTTGTAGATGATGAGTCACGAGCCCATTACAAACACTTTATTATTACTCAGGCGGCCAGTCACTAATTGTGANACATCCGGGACCCACATCACATAAGATCAAATTCTTTAAGAAATGATTGGCTGTTGACACCAAAGCCTGACTTGCAACAAAGCTACAACGGCTCCATCCATACGTAATTTACCTAAACACCTTTAGGCGCCAGTTTTGGTTGTAGATGATGAGTCACGAGCCCATTACAAACTCTTTATTATTACCCAGGCAGGCGGCCAGTCACTAATTGTCAAAAAGAATAAATTACATTGTGACCCCTCAATTATAATCATGGTCTCACTTTGCCACTTCACTTATTGAGTTTCTCCTATTATCTACTCAACAACTTGAATGTGTTTCATATTATTCCAAAATCTCCCTCCCCCTCCCCCCCCTCTCGAGGTTAAGCTTCTCTTTTGTTTGATTTTAATTTAAAATCTTTTACTTAATATAATATTTTATGGTCTTGTTCTAATAAAAAAAAACATCAAGATATTTTTGCACACAAAATATTTACATTTATAGTAAAATATCATTTGGCTGAATGATATTTTGCACCTCAAAAAATATTTATATGTTTAGTTTACACGTCAAAAGATTGAAGTTTTCATGTGCACTCTCAATGAGATGAGAAAAAAAAAAGTAGTAGTGTGATTCAAAATCCAAGGTCTATTGATTTGCTCAAGGTTTTGTGTTATCTTTTTTCTATTTTTGTACATAATTACTTGTATATTGCTTACTTTTAAGTATTTTATAAAAGAAAATTATGCAATTCATTAAAATAGGTCAAATTTACTATATTTTTCTCTAATTCAAGGTGAAATATAAAAACTTTAACCTTTTAGAATATGAATTGGGAATTTAAAAATCTTTTAAAGTTCAAAATGTCATTCATTTAATATGTTTCCAATGTCTAGAATTAGGATACAATAAAGTTAATAATTATGGTTGGAGGTGTAAAGTGAGAAAAGTGATAGGTGAGAGGGCATTATAAGACCAATAATCATAATTAGGGGTATAATATGATAAATGTAATAGTTTATATGGTAATATGAGATAAGGAACATAGTTGAGGGGTTAAAGTGTAATAATTTATTCCACGTGACCGGCATTTCCAGGTCATCCTGCACCCCTCTCCTCTTTCCGTTACGGTGCTCTACAGTTATATATCTCTCTCGCATGCATCTGTCAGAGAGAGAGAGAGAGAGAGATAGGGAGAGGGAGAGGGAGGGAGGGAGGGAGGGATAGGGTTTGTTGGAGCATCGTTGTTTCTACTATCACATAACCCGCTGAAACCAGTCTCTCTACGCAACACATAGGGCCATGGAGGCTCGAGAATTCTCACACATAGACGCCGAATCAAACGAGGAGACATCCGAAATGCTCTTCACTAAGCGCCGTTGCGGTTATTGCATACCTTGTTTCGGTTCCTCCAACGGATCATCGCCGAATTTGAACTGGTGGAGAAGAATCCGAACACCGGAGAGGGACGACGGATCGTTCTGGGTTCGAGGGATCGGCGTCTTCAAGAAGCTGCGCGAGTGGTCGGAGATCGTCGCTGGTCCGAGATGGAAGACTTTCATACGACGATTCAATCGGAACAAGAGTGGTGTAATCAGCAGGAATGCGAAATTCCAGTACGATCCTCTGAGTTACGCGCTTAATTTCGACGAAGGGCCAGGGCAGAACGGGAATCCTGAGGAGGAGATAGATTACATCTCTCGGAATTTCTCGTCAAGGTATGCTTCGGTTCCGGTGTCCGCCAAGACGTCGATGGACCTCGGCAAGGACGATCCCACTTTCGTTTAATCGCCGCCGGTGGGTCGTCAGTGACATGGTCGATGCTAGGCTGGCTTTTGGGTGACGTTAACGGGCTTTATTACATGTCATCAGTATCTACGACTTTTTACTCTTTTATTAAAAATTTGGGTAAATCCCATTTTTCTCTTAAAGAGACAAAAAAAATTTGGTTGCTCTTGAACAATTAATTTTTTCCCATTATTCTCACAAAAAAATTAAAATGTTACAATATAATCTATCTATCTTATTTAAGTNACTCTTTTATTAAAAATTTGGGTAAATCCCATTTTTCTCTTAAAGAGACAAAAAAATTTTGTTTGCTCTTGAACAATTAGTTTTTTCCCATTATTCTCACAAAAAAATTAAAATGTTACAATATAATCTATCTGTCTTATTTAAATTTGGTCGTTCATCTATTGGTTAATTTAACACAAAATAGACGGACAATCAAACATAAATAAGACAATGAATTATATTGTAACGTTTTTATTTTTTTAAAGAGATAATATGAAAAAATTAATCATTTGGGGGGAGAAATTGAGAATTAATTTTATCTTTTAGGGGCAAAATGAGATTTTTTCTAAAAAATTAAAATTAAAATGAAATTGATGTTGTGTATAAATAAATAAAAAAAAAAAAACAAGAGACAGAGAGGGAGAGATGTGAAGATGCGTGTAGGTTTTGAAGTACTTATTTGTTTAATATGTATGTGAGTTGGTTTCTTGTTGGGGGAATGAAGTTTGATATAGAAAGTAATTCATAGATTGGCCAAATTGTTGTTTATCCATTTTAGTGGATTTCATCTTTCTTTTTGTGGATGGTTTAGCTGTATGTTGCTGACAAATAAAGAAACGTGATAAAGAGAAAAATATCTATAATAAATATGTTACTCATTCTTACAATGAAGATTGTGCTTTTATTTTTTTTGTTCAAGGTGTTTATCGGTATTCAACGCGATAACACTATACAAATATATAATAATTCAGATATTTTAATCTAATCTATATGTCGTCTCTTTTGTGATTTGAACACATTACGTGGTGATTACTTAGACATTAATTATTATAAACCCGACTGTTGTTTCAAAAACTCGAGAGTTAGAACTCATAATTATTTAAACGTAACACACCCACAAAGTAATTCATTTTTTTTTCCGTTTCACCAGATGTGGTACGGGAAATGTAATAGGAAAATTGAAAAATTATCATTTAATTTGATCAAGTTACTACTCGAACAAGTAATGTAACAAATTAAAATTATGACTCAATGTGTTCTAAAAAAATTGAGATTGATCCCAACGTTTTAAGTCCAATTAATCACAGTCGATATCATTGAGTTATATTTCGAGCTATATTTTGAGTTACCTTCTCCATAAATGCACATATATCCTTCTCCCTTCTTTTTTTTTTTTAGCTATAGGGTGCCGATTACTCTTTTGAATTATGTGCAGCCTTCGTAACTCTAACTAGTTTAAAAAAATGTTTTCTAATGAACAAGGGTGACCGAGTGTAAAAAATATCAAAGATGATACCTCTTGCTAGCAAGAAGGTAGGCTTCACCACAGCACCACCCGAATAGTTTATTCTTCTCCTTTCTTTCCAGCTATAATGTGGGATCCCTGCAAGATTTTTTCTGTGGTCAATTCAAGCAAACTTGCCCTCAAAAACAAGTGCCCAAATTAATTTGTCACGATGCAATATACAAAGGATACGTTAGATCACGACTAACATTAGCTGAGATATAAGGTGCTTCGTACATCTTGAAAATATTTACACATTAACAGCCTCGTGATGTCTGATATGTGTCTAGCTTGCACACAGAAAAACGAACATTGTCCCAACTATTTGGAGTCGGCTAAGAGCAATAGAGCATCTATGTTGGAACTTTTCTGCTGTTTACAGACTTGATATCAAGCAAAATGTCACCCACAATCCAAGGAAACCCCAAGCAATGCATGCTGTCATGACTATAAGTTGGGTGATAAGTCACATAATACCACGCCGACGACATCTTTTGTCGCTCAGGCGCCTTACAACTGTTCTCGAACCACCCTTTAGCCTCCTTGTGTAGGCTCTTAATGGACACCAAGATACGATCCTTCGTTTCTCCATATCTCCTGTTATCCCGCAGCAAATATGAAAATCTTCTCCGTAAGTTACCTGTCAGTATCTCATCTGCACTCTCTGCTCCGTAATAATTCATCAAGCTCTCCATTTTATCCAAGTACATCTCTTTGTGACTTGCAGCAGTTTCCAGGAAGGCTTTAAAACCATCCACTTCAAAATCGTGATCATATGCGTCTTGGATGATCTTCTGTGACCAAACACAATCTGGCTTTTCATGCGCTGTTGTTGATTTGATGGTGGCACGGTAAAGTTTGCCCAAAACACCTTGGGAGGTGTATGTAGGTTTGTCCCACCTCTCCATGAAATCAGGAAACTCCCTTGGTTTCAAAACCCTTGGCATCTCGGCGGGTGCTCCTGTCTTTGCAAAGTCGACAGCCATAGAGTGAAGGGTTGCCAACTGAAGGCATTTTGAACTCAAAGCCTTATCAGGTTCACGATCCGAGTGTACCAAATGTGCAGTAGAGATGATCCCCAGAGCATCATTGATCATGTAATCGACGAAAAATTTATGAATTTCCTGCATGTGATTGAAATGGGGAACAAGAGAGAATAGTTTTGAACAACATATCAATCGTTTTGTTCTATTTATGCCAGAACTTCAGTTTTAAATTACCTCTAAAGTCACATCATGATCCATTATACGCTGTCTTCGCCCAGTGTAGTCCATCGGGGTCACTGTTCGACTAGGGATGAGATTTTCATCCCAGCTCATAAAATACAAGTCACCATCTAAATCACCACCGGAGCATTCATTTGGGTGAGGCCTGTGAATCACATCATTATTGTTAATTGGTTACATAGAAATCATCATTAAGACTACTTTAATCCATATTGCAAAGAAAAAGGATCAACTTGTCCTACCCCATATTGTTTCATTTTATATGAGTGATTAAATAAAAGTCAGAGCTGCATCCCATTCTCTGTCGAGAACAAAAAGTTACCACCCAGAGAAGAAATTTTTTTTGTTTATTGTTTTTTTTTTTTTGGTGCTTTGGGGGGGTTGTAATTGGCCGCTTTCAAAATGATTTATAACAGATAGAGGCAATAGAATAGAAAGTATAGTTTTGAGAAGTGCTCCATACCTTTCTCCTTTCTGAGGGAAAATAATGCAATCCACCACACCTTTTTCCTCTAATGCCACCTCATACACAGCCTCGAGGACTCTGATATCTCCTGGGTGAAGACAAGGGTTTCTTGTGACTACTACCTTCCCTACCACTATAGCAGTCGTCTCATCCACCTTCTGGAAGAAAATCTGCTCACCACATTGTCGCTCCACCTTAGTCATGGTTGTCCGGAGGTAAACCTGACCATAATTCAAAGTGCCTGTTTCATCCAAGCATCCAATGAGGATGCGGCCCTTGGGGACGTATATTCGGCATCTGCTTCTTAGATCAGACAGTAGGTTCTCATGATGAGATTGAAGCATTATTGAGAGGTAGGGTTCTGCATTCGGCTCGTAACCTTGAAGCAACATCTTCGCCATAATGCTTTTAATTTCACCCCCTCCCATACTCTCCAAAACATCTAATGCTGCCCCTCTGCATTTCAACATTTTGTGCAGAAGTTGGAGTTGCTCATCTTGCATTGCCTCAAAAACTTTGTCCTCCACTCCCAAGGTAGATAAAAGGGTAACAATCTCCCGGTTCAAATAGCAAGGCATGGAATCGCTCCACTTAGTGACATTCAGCATCCTGTTGTCTGATTCAAATTTAAGCATACTGCCACGTAAAGATAGCTTTCTGAAGGAATTACGATCAATAGCTATGATACCTTTATAGCCCCCATATCGAATTTGAAATGCTGATGGAGTATGATTCAGTCCACACTTTTGAGCAATTTGCCTAGCAAAAGTGAGGGAAATCTTTCCAATGCCATCAGAGAAGCAGTATCCAACACCATCAGATATCACTTCAACATCAGGAATAACCTCAACCTGTTGCGCGGGGACTTCCAGAGTCTGCACAGAAGAGCTAAATAATTGACCCATCCTTGCAGCACATTTTGACACACTGCGGATCTTGTTGAAGCAGCCCATCCACTCTCTGATATCCTCCGCTCTCACATGCTCATTAGAAGCAAACATCCAAACAGCATTTGAACGGAGTTGACTGGCCGAGAATGCCAGAAATTGAAACCTTTTGGTCCCTATCACAATCCCCTCCCTAAGAATAGACAAAATCCTACTGTATATATTAGTTCTATAAGGCTTCGAAAAGATACCTTGCTGAACACCTGTGGAAATAGCCTGAGAAGGAAGCTTACCCCAATCTTCTTCAACAAAAGTTACTCTCAAAAAATCTGACGCATATGAAGCAAAGTTCTTCACAATGTAATTGGAGGATTCAAGCTCAGGACCCAAGCAATAAATCTTGGACGGTGTAACGAGAACTCGGTGGCAACTCATTATGTTATTACTTGTTATTTTGCTGTGAGATGAAGAAGGAAGATTCTTACCTTTTTTACCGAGAATATGCAATCGGGTTTTGATAAATGATACAGGATCATAACAAGTCAACTTCAGCTTATGCATTTTCTGAAGCACCGTCATTGCAGTGTCTATGTCTACCCTGCTAAGGATCTCAATCAGATCATCATTAACTGCAGCAATACTAATCTTTTGAGTGTGAACAAGGGAGTTCAGCTGGAAAAGGATCTCATATGCCACCTTAGAATCGGAATGGTATCTTACAAGTGGAACAACCTCAGATGCAGAATAAAATTCTTCCCCATCTTCCATAAAAAGTTCAACTAATTCTTTCTTGACATAGGGCAAACTGTTCAAGATGTCTAAAGCTGACAATCCTTCTTCAATCTCCCAACACAGTGAAGATGATTGCCCAATGGACTTCACACTGGAAAAATCTGTGGTGCGAACCCAAAGGAACTCAAAATCTTCCTTACAAATATGGTATCGGTCAGCGCTAAACTTTGAAGCGACGTTTGATCCAGAAATTTTTTGGTACATCTTTGGCGCATGTTTGAGCTGAAAAATAATAGAGCTCAAAATCAACTAAAATATCTCAAAATAGTTTGTTTAATGTAAACTCTAGCTTAGAAGACAGTTGATAACATATTGAGCCGAGAGACTACTTTCTTTCCGAACATCCCCCAGAGACTACTAAACAGGAAATTTATTAACAGAAAGATGAAGTTCTCAGCTGGTACGTCCAATTTATAGAAAAAAATAAACTCATTTGAAATTAAACAAGCTCCATGGACTATGAACATAATTGTCATACAGCATTCCTTAGCAAAGAGTGAAAAATATTTGACCTTGTTAAGCTTTGCTCTACAAAAACAATTATGATCATAGGGTAACATATTCTTCCAAGTCTATTTTTCAAGAACATTTTTTTTTTTTCCATTTGGATGAGTGAGTATACTGCAGGCTTCATACCTAACTTCATTCCAGATTCTTAATCTGACACCCAGACACAGGGGCAGAGCAACATGGCGTACTGTGGGGTCAGTTGCCCCCACTCACTTTGTTTGTGCAAAGAAAGTTTTATGTATGCTCCAATATATGTCAAAATTAGCCCCCTCAATGTACCTAGTCCTTTTAATCATCTGTCACAATTAGATTTTAGTCTCTAAGCTTACAATTAAGTAAATTTAACTAGTTTTTGGTTAGTTGAATCCCCATAATTTTTCAAAAATACTCTTCTCTCTCCCTACATTTCATTCCCTATTTCTCATCACTGTTAATTTCAATATATTGAGAAAAACATTTTTAATGGCATTGAAAATGAGATTTCAGATTATCATGCAATGTTTTCTAAACATAAAAATTAGAAGGGAACAATTGTAACTTACCAACCAATGTATAAGCTACCGTTTTGTGAGAATTAAGTAAATTCAACTAGTTTCTGGTTAGTTGAAACCCCATAATTTTTCAAAAATACTCTTCTCTCTCCCTGCATTTCACTCCCTATTTCTCATCACTGTTTATTTCAATATATTGAGAAAAACATTATTAATGGCTTTGAAAATGAGATTATCATGCAATGTTTTCTAAACATAAAAATTAGCAGGGAACAATTGTAACTTACCAACCAATGTATAAGCTACCGTTTTGTGAGTAAAAAAAGTAATTGCATCATAAAATTTTGATCACTCTATAGTTCAATTTTTTATGTGGTTCTTTGTATAAAATAACCTTATATACGTGCATATGAACATTTGACTAAACTTGGAAGAACAGAACAAATTCAGAGAGCAAATATACAAAAAAGTAAATAGTGCTTTAAATTTTTTTTGAAAAAAGTAAAAAAGTACTCATGAAAACATAGCCAAATTGTTCCTAAGGTTTTTTATTTAGTATAAGCTTGATTTTTCAAATTATTATTGTTAAAACTCCCCCCACTACCGTAGTTTTTTAGCTCCACCTCTGCCCTGAGACTATTTGATCCCTACACAAGGATTTGAACAAAATCTGTAACGAGGATGTAAAGTTAAGGCCAAGAAGAAGTCACAAATGGCCATTAAAAACAAGAAAATATAAGACTCCTTAAAAAATAAAAGAATATATACACTCCATTATAGAGCTAGAGAAACTCTATACACTTTCTTCCTATCATGGTTGAGCAACTACTTAAGCTTCTTCTTATCATGGTAGAGAGTTGCTTTATGCAACTACAATGATACCTACAGGAGCAGATCTCTGCCAAAAAGGCTGCAAGTCTTGTGGGTGGTGACCTCTCAAACTTCTTTTCGTTTTTTGACAGGCAAATGATATAACTAAGCAAATAAAAAACTATAATCAGAAATAAGAATATTCATTAGCTCTGTCTCGGGACAACAGGTATAACACTCAGGCAGAACATTTGAACACTTTGTTGTGATCACCCACTGGGCACCCATATTAGTCGAGGCTTGGAGCTAGGTGTAATTTGTTGGTGGCCACTGAAAGCTTATTCCAATGCTTCTGCACTCAGCCCAAAGCTTTCCCACCTAAGCTTAGGTGCTGAGCTGGAACAATTTGAATTTGTCGAAGACATGTATAATGCTACTATCTTATAGGGCCCCAAGCCTATGCACTAAGATTCTACCAGGCCTGCAAAATAGTCTAATGGGGTTCGGGCATTAGCAGGCCCAATCACTCGAGTTGAATTCTACAATTGAGTAGATAAATGAACCCTTAATTATGATTGGTATATATGTACAGATCCTGCAAGACAGAGCAAATCCCGAAGCTTATGACTTGAGGACAACCATTTTTTTAACCGTATAGACAAATAAAACATAGTTTATGAAATATAGAGACCAACACAGCAACAAAATCATGAAGAAATGAACATTCTTTTTCAACTTAACCAAAGGTCAATATTTCCAGAACACTGCAACAACACCAGATAAAAAAATAGTTTACCACGAAAATGCACTGCCTACCTATTAGAGTTTCCATTTATTGCCATAACACATGCGAAGTTTAATGCATAGAGCTATTCTACTAGTTTAGCAATAGTCTCATGAATGAACATGCCTCATTGGACGTGTGTCTAACACACTCCAAGTGCTCTTCATTAAGATAAGTTTTAAGAAAAACAGAAAACGCAGTCAATCCTAGGATGAAATGCACTAGACAAGTATACTTAGCGATGCAAAAATTTAAAGTTCAAATTTGGGGTACAATAGTGAAGATAAACAGTCCATTGGAAATTAGCTAGAAAAAAAGGAGGAGGAGGACATATGATGTGACGTTTGGTCCATTCAAAAATTTGTGGACACACGCCTAATCTAGATGTATCCCGCCTTTAAATCCTTGCGATATAAGCATGAACATGCCATGTTGAATCAGTTCTTTTGTCCGTTTCTATGCTGCATATCTAGAAAATATTCTCTTCTTTGTTTTACAAGGAGATACCGTTAATGGAAAATAAATATCTAAAAGACCTCTTCATTTCCATAATTGCCGTTCTTCATTTTTCGGAATAGTGGGTACAGTTAAGGAGGGAAAAAATGCAAACAAGATAAACACAGTTTCAAGTTTTTCTTCTTTTTTTGCGTTGAGGAGATGAACAGTTTCACATCTAGCAGCAAAAAATCTGAACAGGGGATGTTACTCATGAAATTACTTTGATAATTGAGATTGTTTATTTTGCAGCATCTATCAAAAAAGGATTAGCTTGTAGTATCTAATAGCATAGCCGTAAGCTACCATATTAGAAATTCGCATTCAATTAGTAGACAATGTTCAGCAGATCAGCAGATTTTAGCCGAGCACCTAAATGCCTAATCCAACTACAATGCACAAAAAAAGCTCACCTGGTCAGCCCCAAAGCCAAGGGTTTAAAAAAGGGCTATAAAGGATATTACTCAATGTTTCTTGTAGGTAACAAATTCTAGTGTATTTTCATCAAAGATATGTAGGATGCCCCTCCTTTCTGAACATTAGTGACGAACACTTTTGTATAAAAATTGAAGATCATTACAAGTCGTCAGTGTGCATGTACATTAAGTTTAATGTTTGTCAGTCACAAGCACAAGGATATGAACTCATGTTCTCATTTCTAAATTCTAGGAGATTGTTGCATTGGATCCTTACAACAAAAACAAATGTGGTCACAGAACAGAAGGCATTTAATAAATTTTAATTCCAGCATATATTCCCATATATTCACGTAGTTTTGTAGATTATTAGTCAGGGAGCGCTGGTTTAGTGGTTAAGATTGGATCCAATGACCTTGATGTTATGAGTTCAAAGCTAAGGGCACCTATTTTTCACAAATAGTGCCAAAAGCTAGATTTGTATCTAATCTACTCCCCCTAGACTCCCTTAATGGGAGCTAAACCTGGATACCTTCACTCATCCCAAAGTATTAAACCCTTGGTTCAACATCATTCATCACCTGTCTAGGACCATATTTTCCATTGAACAAGACTCACATTTCTTCTGCATCCTAGAGTCCTAGACTACACCATTCCTCAAGCAGGATTTTAGGGAATTTCAAAAAATGGACAGCTTATATTTACGCAAACCCTCCTGGCCACCATAGGCGTAGTTAACATCAAATCTGTTTGCATTAAAAGGCCAAAAATACATCAAATCCATTTGCACTAAAAGAGCCAAAAATGGATACCTTCTACTCAAGTACTCAGGTGGCAACTGGACACTTGCAAATCAAAAGCATATTTAGCTAAAAGAAAAGGCTATTTAGTAACAGGTCCAACAATTGATATCATACAATAATGAGTCTAGTCATGATAAATGTATGTTTCTAAATGGTTCATATTGGATTAAAAACCTTGTATCCTCACTAAAATGCTTATCGAACAGCAGCAAATCAAGATAATTCCACAACAATAATTTAACCTCACATAAGGAAAACTAAATCCAAGAATTCTACTAAATCACTGATACCAGTACATTAATCACAATTATTAAAAACCTTGGGATTAGATCCAGGAAGTGCAAAAATACATAAACCAAAAGCTTAGCAAATTTTACCATGGCATCTTCCAAGGCCACAAATCAAAATCAAGTGCCGAAAGACAAGTCCAACAGAAATGTTGGAGTGAGGACAAGCTCATACAACAATAATCCAATAGTAAGAACACACACAACACACTATGACTTAACTGTGAACTGATCACCATCAAATGATGCAAAAAGTATCCCTCTAAGTTCAAGCAAAAGTGGCAATCTTACAAAAAAGCAAAAAATTATACCTTCAAAAGAACTGCAGTGGGTTTCTCACCATCCAAACAACACCCACAAACCTCAAAAATATCAGCAAACTGTACCTCTAACCTATAACACTCCGCATCATGATTCACCCAGAACTCAATACTATTTCTTTCAGGCATAACCCATGTTTTAACACCCTCCCAAGACTCCAAAACACACATGCGATCACTTTTCACCATAAACCCAGTATGCAACACCCCATTTTCGACCCGGTGTTTAGGTTCTATTGGCCTAAAGATCACATCATCAAAGGCATTGGAGAGATAGAGGTGGGACCCTTTAAAGACAAGCTTGCCTTGATCAGAGAGGGCTAAAGAAATTGATTTGGCTTGAAGGGTCTCGAACTGGACTCGGCCAAAGCCTCTGGACTTCCAGTTCTTGCGCTCTGTGAAAATATCACAGGCGAAGACTGAGCCTTTCCCGATGGTGGACTCGAAGAAGTCGAAGAGGTCTTTGGCTATGACTGATTGGGGGATGTTTGCGACTTTCACCGTCACTGTTGGTCTCTCTTCCACTCCCATGGTATGATGAATGAGCGAGAGCGAGAGAGAGGGGGATGTCTCAACAGGGGTTTTGTGCGGGAAAATTACATTGTGACTCTCTTAATTATGACTTGATTTTACTCCATCTCTTGAACTATTCTATTTTTTACATTATCCCTCAAATATTTAAATTATTTCATATCACCCCAAAAGTAAATATTCGTTATCTTTTTGAATGGAAATTGATAACATATCGGGACAAGTAAAAAAAAAAAAGTCACATTGTACAAGGGGAAAAATAAAATAATTTTTCGTCAAATTTACAATAGGCATTAATAATCAAAGTGATGTAAAATTAATCACTTAGTTGATAGTGTAATATAAAAATTATGATAAAATAAATTATAGTTGGAAGAACCAAAATATAATTTGTTAAATTATCTTATTACATTAACAAATTAAATATCTGACATTGGCTTTAAGTGTTGTGTTTTTTATACGCACTTACAATATTTCAAGATCAATCATAATTTTTTCAATTGCAACTTACAACCCACAAACTACATACTGAGATGATCTCATTGACTCATTGAGTAACTTCATCCTCCATCCAATTTGCAGTTGCTGACATCCCCAATTCTCTTTGATTTCCCCCTCTTCATTTAAACCTTTGATCAGAGTTTTTCACTACTCCCGTGCAGTTTGTAATCTAATTTCTCAAACCAAGACAGTTTTGAAAGTATCTCTCAAACACAAAAAAGGGTTGACATTTTTTAAAAATACTTGCGTTTGGGAAATAAAACCGAGTTTTTTCACCATGTTCTTGCATAAATGTCTGGCCTTATAAACAGAAACACATTCTATGTATGGTTAGAAATGCTATTCAATTGTTGCCTTAATGTGATTCCCATGGAAAAGAGAGCAAGTGAGACTCCACTACAAAGGATGCAACCTGAACTTGTCAGACTCTGAGAATTCACATACACAAGCAGTACAGTCAAATTGCTCCTTCAATCACATTATATCCTTCTAGTTAACCACAGGTAGAGCATCAGTAAGAGCATGATTTAGACGAGAATCGTGTTAGCCGAATAGCTGTTGCAGTCTTGCAACTGTCTGGGGAAAAGCATGAGAATCGGCGATTTCTGAGCATCAATTAGATCAAAAAATGAATGAGAAATATGGCTTCTTCATGAGAAATCTAACAAGAAGATGACGAAGCCCAGGTATGAAAAAGATAACAGCCAGAACGAATATAAACAACAAAACCAATTGGAGAGGAACTAGGTAAAATTGCATAACAAAACAAGGTATCTACAATTACTATTTCAAGGTTTTTTTTTCTTTTTTTGTGGTGCATAGGTTAGTTCTTAAATTCGAAAAAAAAAAATACTACTTTCATACAAATATGTCTGATTGGAACGGAATAAATTTGTTATCTTCAGAAGCAATTTTTCGTGTTTCTCGTAAGCATGGCTGAATTGCGCCTTGAGAATCATTGGTCAGAGCTTATGGATCTCTCTTCTTCTTCTTTTATAGAGTTTATCATTACAGCAACTTGATCAATTGTAGGCCTAGCATCAGGTGACCGATTTATGCAGTTCAATGCTACCAGCAACAAGTTCACCATCCTCTCTTCACTAGCACCTTCCGAAATGAGAGCTCTGTCAAAAACTTCAACAGTCCACTCTTCTCTAACCACAGATTGCACCCATTGTGCTAAATCAAATCCATTACTCTGGACAGACTTCCCAGTGAGAAGCTCAAGGAGAATTATGCCAAATCCATAAATATCGACCTTAAAGGTGGAATCATCACCATGGCCACTGGTTGTGTCATTGTTTTCAATACTGCTGGCTTGAGCAAGGAGTGATTGATCTTGATTTTCAACTACTTTGAGACCGTATTCACTTATACATACATCCATATCTTTCTTCAGCAAAATGTTGGAGGTTTTCAGGTTACCATGTACAATCCCATCATCGCAAAGCTCCTTGTGCATGAAAGACAAGGCCTCAGCAATGCTAGCTGCAATGCTTAGTCTGCTTCCCCAGTCAAATAATTGGCCATTTTGCGATCCTGAAATTGACAATAACAAACGAAATATTAGTGTTATTATGGAGCTGCAATAACAACCAGAATATGCTGCACTTTGCAATGTTCTAGTTTGTTTTTTTTTTTTTTTGTCTTGGCAACCTAGGAAATAGAGGCCATCGTTAACCATTGTTCGTTTAAGGCATATTCTTAAAATACCTAACCATTGTTCGTTTAAGGCATATTCTTAAAATACCTATATCTACAGCGGCGTGGTTTGGTAATACACCAGTTCGGCTACTATTAGTCTAAATATTCAGTTGAATCTATCTGTGGGAGTTGGTTCAATGTTTGGTTTCCACGACAAACGGGCATAAATCTGTTATTGGATATCTTCCTTTTGGAATCACTTCGGGTTCATTCATGCCTATTGACATATTCAAAAATTGAGAGGCCTCTATGAGTATTCTTGTTTCAGCCTCCTATGCTGCATATTTTATAAAAGATTGACTCTCAAACAAGGGAATAAAATTAAAGCGTATTACGATAGGCAATGCAATGGATGACCTTACCATGGAGAAGCCTGAAGAGACTGCCATTCTCTTGATATTCATAGACCAAGAGCTTCTCTTGCTTGGAACAATAATAGGCAACAACTGGCATTACATTTGGATGCTTCACTTGGTTTAACCTCTGCATCCTCGTCTCCAACTCATCTCTCGGAATCGTCCAATCCTTAATCCTTTTCACCACTAGAGTCACCCCACTATCAAGCATGACCTTATAGAGGCTCCCATGTTTTCCTCTTCCAACTATTTCAGCTGGGGATCGAAGTAGATCCTCAAATTTCAGCTCATTTACCAAAGGACTTGAAAGAACTATGAGTGGTGATGACGCCGTTCCACCTTCAGCAGAGGTTATCGAATACTCTGACCTGTAACCTTCTGTCTTTAAATCACTGGAAATACCACTATTCTTGTTGCTACTATTATCCGATTTCACCCCCTTCTTCACAGCATTAGTCCTTTCATCATTAGGCTTGTTTCTCTTACTCACTTTATAGGCAAAGAAAAGCACAAAAATCAGGACTAGAATTGCGTATCCAGAGTACATAAAATACTTATAGTTTGAGGAGCCTTTCTTCTTATCTGGAGGAGCTGATGGGCATACAGTAGACAGTGGCTTTCCACATAGTCCAGGATTACCCAAAAAGCTGCTTGAATTGAAATGCCCCTTGACATCAGGAATTGGACCACTGAAATTATTATTGGAAACATTGAACTCTACAAGGTTAGAGAAATCAAAATTTGGTATCGTTCCATTGAGTTCATTGTTCTGAGCAAGGAAGGTTAGCAAGCCTGAGATCTTTGACATATCTGCAAGCTCATCATAGAACTGGTTGTTTGATATATCAATCCTTTTCAGATTATTCAACCCGGAGAGAGATCCTGGAAGTTTGCCTGAGAGCCTGTTTCCACTTAGATACAAATGGGTCAGAGAGATGCAATTTGATATCTGTTCTGCTATATTTCCAGCAACTTTATTGTTGTTCAGGCTCAGAACAGCAAGAGACCTCGCCTCGCAAACAGAGCTAGCATCAAGAACACCTGTGAGATTGAGCTGATCAAGAACAATCTTCTTCACAGATTGTAATCCACCGTCACACGTAACACCTTGCCACTTATCAGTACAAGGATCTGAAGTCGAATTCCAGCCCCAATTGGCATCTCTTAGCACGTTCCCAGGATAAAGTTTCCCCATGAATTCAACCAAGGCCTGCTTCACTTCTTCTTTTTCTGCATTCACTGTGGAGAAGAACAAGAACAGGAACATAACAGATATTACCCGGATCGATATACAATCCATGGCTGATGAACAAGATGAATATTGTGAGAATGTCAGGATAATTTGTTTCTCCTTCTCATGAGATTGGTTGGATTGATTCAAAATTTGCAGAGGGGAGACAGTAACATTGTTGAAATGATTGCTCATATCCTTATATATTGCCAACTGGCTGAAAATTAGTTAACAACCAAAGCGTTTTGTACAATGTGGTTGGCAATAAAGAGTAAAGGACTAATAGAATAGGCACTAAACAACATAAAATATATGGAGCCGGCAGGTGGAGATGGTCAAAACACTGATGCCATGTCTCTGTCTTTGGCTTCTCAATAAATCCAATGTTTTTATGGTACAAGGCATAATGCACTAATCTTGGTACTGTTTTAGCTATAGCATATTTGGTGCTTTCTCCAACTCGCAGATTCCCTGTACCTCGGATGACGGTCGGGTCTTTAGCAGCAAATATCTCAAGATCCCAAGTTCAAGTCTCACAAGAGACTTTCGTGGTTGGTCCGATGCCCATGATTGAGTGCATACACCCGGGTTAACCTAGAACTCTCAAGTCCAAAAGATGCACGGTTAAGACGGTTTTATGGTAAAAAAAGTGCAATCATAAACAAGTACAAAGAACTCATGTGGCCTGCATTAGTCCAGCTATATAGTTTGGCATAGTACAAGTAGCTAAAAACTAAACAAATAACACAGCATAGAGCTGAAACGTAGACAATGGTGTGTATCATGCTAAGTTAGGTATTCGCAAGGTGTACAACTCAGTCCATTGGGACACTATCCTCAATACCTTTAATGAACTCCAAACAAGGATGAAAATTTGATTTCGAGCCATAGTTAAAATGAAAAATCGTTACGGAAACGTCTCAAAAACGTTTTGGGAACATAAGGGAAATAAATAAAAATTTCAAAATATATTTGCAAAACATGCCGAAACCAGGATCAAAATTTGTTTTGGTGCATTATTTTAGTCATCTAGGAAATGAAAATATTTCGGTATGTTTCAAAAACGTCTCCACCCATTTCAAAAATAGAATGAAAAAAATAAAAAATTTAAGAATTATTTTTTCAAAATATTAGTCGAAATATCCTAAAATATCTTGAAATATTTTGAAACATTCTGAAATGATTGTGCAAATACATTAAAATATAACAACAGTTTAAAACATTATAGAACATCTCGAAGTTTAAAATTTCGATTTTATCATTGATTCGTTTCGATCTCTTTAAAAATGGAAATGTTTCGGACATTTCAACTATTTCGAAACGATATTTTGATTCTTGGCCGAAACATTAATCAAAGCACATTGACAATTACCAAATAAGGGTGTTCACCTTACCCTACGGGTAGGAAATATAGTCTTCCGTCTTCCTACCCGATACTTTGCGAAAAAAAATTTTCTTACCCTACCCTACCCGATCAGATGTAGTATTTCTACCAACTTCGGGTAAACACTTTTTTTAACTATTAATTTTTAGATCATTTTAACAATTCAATTAAATAGCATGCACTAATTTAACAACACATTAAATCAATAACACTAAAACTTAAAAACAACTACAACAACAATTATAATAAAACACAAGAAATCATGAACATCAATTTATCATAATTGTTATACAAATACAATAACAATTATTTTAAGTTTAAACTATATGAAACACATTAAAATCATAATTGCACTAATAGATCATTAGTTCACTACAAATTATGTAACCTACACAAAAAATAAGTCAATGTTTTAGCAACTCAAATATCCACAACAACGATAATGTTATAATATAAATTATATCACACAAATACTCTTATAATTACTATAAAAAAATTAAATATATTTTTTGCGGTTAGGATAGAGTAGGAATGCGAAAATTGATGGATATTCTGCATTCTTATTTGATTTTTGCGGCTAACCATTCAGTAGGATCGGGTAGGATAGAAAATTACGGTCAATCAAAAATTTGAACACCCCTACCCAAAAACCTCAAAACATAGAAATTTTCATATTTGATTATTGAATTGTTTTGATTTCAATGGAAACGAAATCACTCCGGCCATTTCAAAACAAAATTTAGTTCCTTGGTATCCAAATGGATTGAATTCTGATCCAGCAGAGGGCAACATCATCAGTAAAAGAAAAACAGAGAATTGACTGAACAGTTATTGTGTTCAACATCCCCCAAAAGAACTTAACTATGCTTTCAATAAACATCTGTGTCCTAAGAATTTCACTATTTTCTTCTTAGACTGCATGGGAAATTTGAGAAATGAAAGTACAAGGAAACCAAGGAAAAAATTCTATATATCTATATAATAAAACAGGATTGTGTTTGAATTTTATGCTAGTCATATTTTCTCCCTCCAAACTATCGTCAATCACTTACCTCACCCATCATTCTTTTGTCAGACTCAAACGTCAAATTACATCATTATTTTTATCACATGTTTAATTATTTATATATTTCTTTTCTAAAAATATTACATCATTCATTTCTATCATATATTTAATTATTTAATATTTAATTAATTTGTAGTTAATATATTTTGATAAAAATTAATATAATATAATCAATTTTTTTGTCGTTCGAATTTTATATTTTATCGTGTCTTCAGGCACGGGTCATGACTAGTATATATATATTGACAAACAGCCAATTTCCATGTTCCCTCCTGAAAAATGAAAATTCATAGTTTACTATCGTCAATTTTCAAAATAAGAACAATGGGACCTCTTGGAATGCTAGTTGAAACGATACCAAGTGGTTTGAAAAATGGCATTTTCTAAATATTTGTGCTGAGGATAAATAGACGCAGACACAACAAAAAACAAAGGACAGAGACAAAATCATCACAAGAGCTGGAAGATGCTACATCACAAATAGATATATGATCTTAGAATGCATTCTATATTCCTGCAATGTGTTCAAAACTGTAATCGAAAACAAAAGATGCTTATAAAAACCGTCTAAGAAAAAGGAAAAGTTGATCTTCATTTTATAGAAATGTCAAGATCGAAACATCTTACACAACACAAGATTTACAAGCAAATTAAAGTATAAATCATACAGCCAGATGACAAAGTTGATAAGCATAATGAAGATGTCTATCAATTCCCAGTACTTCATGGATCTGCAAGTCCCGGAATTTCATCTTCACTTGATGTGCATTGTCCATCACTGACATCGTCATCGTCAGTCTCTTCCTCGACTGCCTTGTTATTAAGGTCTTCCTTCTTCGCGTAACGCTCACAGTACTCTGATTGCAGAAAAGTAATAAGAATGCTATTATGTGAGCAAGTAATAAATGGCTTTTGTGAATATCCTATGCTCTATATCACACATCATTGACAAAAAACAAAAGTCCCATGAATCCATTCAAAACCGCTTTGAACAAATGGCTTCTAATCGTATACCCCAGCTTGAATTGTGCATAATCTACCTGAAAAATGAACTATATGGCTTGGCTGTGTAACTACAAAGGAAATGCTTCAACCCCCAAAGTTCCCTTCTTAATGTCTCCCTTAGAGATGGCTGTACATGCCTACAGAAGGAATCATATTTGTAACATTGTTTCTATAACTTCTTGAACAGACATGATCACCAAATATTTATGTGAGCACCACAACTAAAAACGTGGCACATTTTCAGTGGGGGATCCACTGCCAGATCAGTCATGGCCAAGCAACTGCAAACATAAAAAATCTGGGGAATAGGCTGATAATTTTGAAGTGTTGAACTGAAGAAATCAGTAAAAAAAACAGCCAAAACTTAAATGTTGCTATAGTCACTAAGGTTTTGGTTTATCATGGTTATGTTCCACTTAAAACATGTAGTCCTAATTATAATACACGTGTACATATATTTCCAAAATAAAGGCACTTTTTAACCTGAACAATGTTCCATAAAACAATAACGTTATTATAGGACAAGTAAGGAAGACAAATTAGGAGGAAAACCTTTCACCTTTAACTTTCTGTTCATACATATTTTTGTCCTTCATCATCAGGGAAGCAGCATCGCCATTAAGTGGGTCTGAAGGGTTTGGATAAAGCAAGAGTTGTGGAAGAAAAACTTCAAAAATATTTAGAAGATCTTCAAAAAAAAGTAAAAACACAACTAGGGTTAGTTGTGATTAGTTCACTACCAATATATATAATCATGTGAAAAGAAATAAAAGATACAGAGAGAGGGTACAAGGATCAAAATATCGTTTCGAAACATCCAAAACGTTTCCGTTTCCAAGGAAACCGAAATGAATCAATGATGAAATCGAAATTTTAATACTTCAAGGTATTCCATAATGTTTCGAAATATTTTGTTATATTTCAATGCATTTGCACAATTATTTCAGAATATTTTAAGGTATTTCAAGATATTTTAGTATATTTCGACCAATGTTTTGAAAAAATAATTCTTAAATTTTTTATTTTTTTTCATTCTATTTTCGAAACTGGTCAAAACGTTTTCAAAACACGATGAAACGTTTCCATTTCTTAGGTAATCGAAACAATGCACCAAAATGAAATTTTGATCCTTAGGTAAAACAATAACAAAAACTACACTATGTCCTGATACATATAAAGACATGCATTATAGGAAATAGAGATATAGAGCGAGGGTACGACAATAAAAAAACAACATTGTATCACGATACATACAAAGGCATGTGTATTCCATTTACTGTAGAAGTTTTCAGAGAATTCATCAGAGGAATGCTTTTAATAGAAATTGCTTGTTCTTGGATATCCCTACTGTTTGATCTTGTATATGCCTATTAGTTTTCCAAATTAATCACAAGGATACATATAATTCAAAAGAATATGTGAATGATTCATACACAATATCTCTCTCTTTTATAAATGATTCGACCAATTGGTATGTGTCCACAAATAATTGAAATTTAATTTATTGATCCATATCTTCAATTTTTGGAAACTTCCAATTTTTATGTAACCCTTGGATACAAATCACGATAATTTATATTTTTCCTAAATCAACCTACAAAATCCTTCAAATTGTTTTTTATTAAACCAATGTATTGTATACATTCCCTCATTTCCATCCTAGATTATTTTTAATTTTCCATTTATCGAAAAATTCAATTACTGGCTCATTCTTCATCGAATCATATAGATGATTTAGCAATGATGGAATTACATGAAATTTTACCCAACTCCATATATGGAATGAATGTATGAAATATGTATAAACGAAAGAATGAAGAGAATTTTCTGCACAATTCTAATCCTTGAGCTTATTGGAATCCTTCAATTCAACCAGCGAATAGGCATCACATAAAGTTAAGACGATCTTAAAGCCTATGAGGTGAGAAATGAGATGAGAACTAAGAGAGGTTTTGGATCAACAAGGGATAATTTATGTGTTGCAGGCTTGCAGCCTATTTTATCTGATGGTCTAGCTGCTGCTTCGATTCCAGCCAAAAAGCGAACTGATTGTTTTCTTAGCAGCTACTTGGCTAAACAAGACTCCCTTCTAGCCTTCCTTCAAGCTGCCCCACCGAAAGAATATACACACACATATATATGTATGTGTGTGTGTGTGTATATATATATATATATATATATTAGAGTAGAGACCGTAGGAATGATGCAATTGGCCACTAGGTTTGAGAAAGAGGTTGGCTTTGAAGTCGATGGAGGGAACAACGATCTCGATTGAGAAGTTGAGACCAAGCCCTAAAAGGGGAGATATGTGAGAGAGGGTACAACAATTACAAAAGCAACACTATATCATGATATATACAAAGGCATGCATGCATCAACAAACCAGTGATAACACCATGACAACAGAGATAGAGCACTAATGGAAGGGTTGATAAATCATGATGCATACAATGGAATGCATGCATCTACGAACAGGTGATAAAGTTATAGATAGAGCACTAATGGAAGGGCTGTTGAATTATTATACCAAACATTGGACTCCATGATTGATTAATAACATCCAAGCAAACGGAACCAGACCTGCAGTTTATGGGGAGGAATGAAGTATCAAGTCAGCTGGGATTACCAACAAATTCAACTTATAAAAAAAAAAACTCAGTAGAACAGACATGTTTTCGGTCTTTTCTGTAGAATTCTTGGTCCCCCGTTGCGGTACTCTAAGGTTACAAAACAGCTACAGATACTCTTTAAGTTTGTGGCTGATTTTGATGACTAATTACTCATCTAGAAGTGACCTAGTTTGGTTATCAAATTATAAGTTGGTGAACCAAGTGCATGAGTGAACTCACAGCTCATCAACATTTGGGTGGAATATCTTGTTCACAAATCCAATGGAAGGAGACTTGTATGGATAAGCATCTGGAAGCTCAACTCGAACTTTCCACAAACCACCTTCATAAATACCTGCAGCACCCAGAATCTAATGCTGCTAAAACTAACAGAATCTGATGCATATGGCTTACTACTATTGAGTTCAGAAGAAGCTCATGCAACAAATTGGATTCCAACTAACGGGGCAGGCAAAACACTCAATATATGATCAAAATAAGCAACAAAAGGCTAGGGCATCATCTGTTAGCATTTTCAAAACTAGTTAAGATTGTGTTTAGGGAAAAAGATTTGAGATCAAAATTCCTAGAACCAAAAAAGTGCTTAAAGACAGTTGTGTGGTCCCTCAGTTGTTTTGCAGTGCTTGATAAATTGCCTACCATTCACAAAGGAAATATAAAGATTAAAAGGAATGAATATAAAGATAGGATAGATTAAAAATCAACTGGATATCCATAACATTGAGTTCTCTCGGGCACTCTTCCTTGTCTTCAAAAGCATATTCCTATGAAGGTTTGGGGCATTAAACACAGTACCTAAACATCAATTGAACCTTCACAATACTATGACACTAAATGCTAATTTTTTCTTGAAATGGTTATGAAACTCCAATATTAACTCTCGCATGCAGAAGCTACTCAACGATCATTAATGTCAGTTACCAAAAGGGCAATTCTAGGTGTGTCTTGTGTAAGAACAGGAAGGGGCACAACCAAGAAAAAGCAAGATCTGCAGCAATGATATGTCAATAAACATATTTCGCTGCTCAAAAGGCATGGAAAATCCAGACTGAAGGAAAACAGAAAAAAACAAGTTTTTAAAACAAAATTCTTCCTGCTCCAATCCATGGACCTTGAAAATCTAATCTGAAGCAGTTTTCTCTGTGGAACTGTCTCATGCACATACCATGGGGCAACCAATTAAACCTTTTTTTTTGGGAAACAAATTCAGTGACAAGAAAGTGCAGGAAACTCCATAAGGAGAAATACATTTAGGGTCACACTTAAAATAATCATTGCCTGCTTCAAACAAAATTAACTCTCTCAACATGTAAGCACCCAGAGACACGCACGTGCATGCTCAAAATAAACAGTAATTGTATTGCAGAACAGGGCTATGGAATTCAGTCCTCCCATCGAATGCCCAGAACATCCCCATCCACCAAAGAGAAAAATGGCCAACCAAAAAATTGAGGAACAAAAACATGGGATCGTAGTTGTGGAGGCTTGAGTGTTAATAGCATACTTTCTTTGGGACCATGAAATTCCACATTGAATTCATTGAGTCCATCATTTATCGTCTCAACAGTATAATCGCTCATCATCCTGAATAAATAGAGCAGGTTAAAAGAAACACAAAGATCATTAGCAACAGGTGCAACTTCAGCCTGTAAAAAACATAACCACTGTCTAGACAACAAAAGGGAATCCAAAATTTTGCAAGGATTCAAATTAAGCCAAAGTGATAGGTTAGATTGTATAAGGACACTAAATACTACACAGATCTCATCGACCAAATCAAAGGTAAGAAACATGATACTAGTGCAACTAAGAGCACAGAATAATTCCTGTTGAGCACAGGGATTGCATGTCGTCTGAGTTGTGGACTACAGACACCACATATTGTGCACACTTATGTGATGTAAAGGTACTTAAAAAATATGAACAACACACAAAAAATCAATATATTTATGTGTTGAGTTATAAGTAGCTGTGGCAGTTTAACACGATGCAGATAAGATACTGGTCACTGATTTACTATGGCATGGACAACTGGAAACTCAAATGTTGCACATCACAAATGAAGCTTCATTAGGAAATAAACATTGCGACACCATTTCAAAATTAGAAAAGATTAAAGAAAGCAGTAGAAATAACAGGGGGGGCACTTCACTAAGAAGGTTATCAAGGTACTACTTTTCTCATTTCCCAATTAACCAAACATATTTTTCTCATTCACCATGGGATTTTCCTGCTGTCCATATCAATTACCACTTCTTCTTTCTCAAAAAACTGAACACCTCCAACATAATTTTTGTTATGGAAAGATGTGAACATCTTTGCAAACGATTAATGCAAGACTTCATGATATTTCCCACTGCTTCAGTCGTCTATCTGAAGCCATCCATTTGAGCAACACTAATTCCTATCAACATTTCCTTTTGGTGAAACTTGAAAAACAATATATATGCAAACTTAATATTTTGTTGTATGTAGTAATTCATTGACTGCAATGTTTGATCCTTCATTCTTAAAGAAACATATGTTGACAAGTTAAATGAACTCCCATTAGTGGTCTATCAATGCTGCATTACTTATTCCAAAATTTTTCCGGGGAGCGTCTATATTTGGACAAGTCCATCAGGCTCTGGATTACATGAGGCAAATATCCAAGGATTCTTTTGCAGGAGGTTTCTCAAGTGTTGCCCTGCCAGTGTTGATGCAACCTTTAACTCCACAACCAACTCATGTACCACTGATATATTCCATCATCTCATTTCTTTTTGCAAGTGAGGGTTATCAATGAAATAACGCATTAGAGATGTTCTTTTGAGCCATCAGATATTAACTTATTGTGGACACCCAAGATGCGTTCCATGATAGTAACTGTCCCTTCCTTTAGAGAATATTTTTCAGCATATGATGCTAGGGAAGTATTTTTTTTCATCATTCTATTGAGTGCTTTAATTTATTATTTTTAGTTTTATGTTGCCAATTGTCAATGTTTGAGAGAGAAAGAGAGCGACCAAACTTATCAATGCCTTGAGTGTGCTAGATATATTTCCCCCACCATTGGCTGTACATAACCATTCATTCAACACAAATTACAGCATTAGCGACGCAAAACAAAAAGACCATTGACCATATAAAACAAAATGAAAGTATACCTAATATAATAATGGAAGCCCCAGCCTGACCAGGAAATCAATTTTTTTTATGTTTGTGGTTTCATTTTTTTTTTATGTAATTCACTAAGTTCCTTGCTAAATTAGGTAATAGACAGATTTTGTCCATCATCCCAACCTTGCCAAAACAGATGCCATGAAAACAAGGCAAAATAGCATGAAACACCATCAAGATATTAAATGTTGTCCATGAAATAATATTAATAAAAGATGTTGGACTACAAACAACTATGACATAGTAGGGTCAGAATATTAAACACAAATAACCATGAGGAGCTTACAACTTCATGACATCCATCTCTCTCCTCTTACTTGGAGATGACATTTTAATACATAGGAATAGAGTTGAGTAACTATCTCCTGAAGTCTGTCAAAAGAATCAACTAGTTAGACATACTACTTTACTTTTCAAAATCATTCGCTTATAAGAATACTGAATGGAATTGGGAAAAAAGGATCAAAGCCAAATTAAAGAGGGAAAGAAAAGAGTAAGGCCTTCCATAAAGATTTGCAAGATTGCACACAATTAACTAAAGCAGGATATAAACAATCACCAGAGAATAAGAACCTTAAATATCTAAATTTTCCAAAGCTAGGAAGAAGGTATAGATATATTTGATGAGTGAAAGAACAAAATCACTAAACACAAATTTTTTACACATTATATATCACTAAATCTGCAACAGTAACAGTGTACAGCCAACAATCAACATCAAGAATCAGCCTTAATCAGTGTATCTCAAATTCTCAACAGCTTTAGTTTAAGCGGCCATACTTTGTTGGTCAACAAGTGCAGGATTTATTCTTTGATAGAAGTTTTACAGAAGACATAAACCTCCAGAACAAACTTCAATTTAAACAAACAAGAAACATTTACCACCACATAACATTTCAAATTCTTCATGAAGTAAAGAAAATTGCAATTGTAGCTATAGCAGCCTTCACAAGAATTTTAAGTTGAGAGTTTTTTTCAGATTGCAACTTTCACAGTAGCCGAACTATTAGCTTCCTACATTACCATTCAAGCTTCCTATCTTTTTCTCCTTTTCTATTATCATCAAATGAAAGAAAAATTAAAAATTAAAATTCCAACTAATGACGTCTGCAGGCATTCTTCTTCATGAAGTGCACAATATCTTGTATCATAAGATGTAACTTAAATCATTTCCAAGCAAGTGATTTCACTCCTAAAACTTTAGAAATTTGCTTACTTTATTCCAATTTCACTTGCATTATGCAATGGCAAACCTATGTTCAAGAAGCATCAACAAAAGTCAGTCAAGGCAAAAACCAATGATCCAATGGGCCAACAGAGATGTGCAACAAGAAGTAGTTTGTCGGCATTCAACACCATCATGGATAAACAATCACGTGTTTAACAATTCCAGTAACCAGATGATACTTGCCATGAAATTACCTCCTATAATGGCCAAAAATTTCCTCATGGTATTTGAAGAATTCACAAGCTAGTAACTAAACTCACCGAAGTATCTCTTCCAGTGTGGGATATACAGCTTCATCATGCCGATGCGTGGAGTAAGTGGGGAAGGAAATTCAAAATAGATAGAGATAGATTGTACCTATATAAATAGTGGTTTTATGACTAAATCCCAATAGGCCTGTGGGCAACATTCAAAACCATAGTGGACAAGGTCCATCTGAGTGACTTTGCATTAAGGGGAATGCAAGGTTAAAATATCATCTAGGTTTATGATGTCATAAACTTCATGTCTGGCCTTGAAAATGTCATGCTATTAAAGCGATGGGGGATTTTAAATGTGGTGCTTAACACCGGACCGCAACTTTTCCCATCTTTGAACCAGTAATTCTTTTGATGCTCAGAATTCATAACATAACTGAAACCCATTTACTAGTCCTTTTGAAGCATGGACAGATAAGTTTATTACATTATTTTTTAGGTTAATTCTTCTGAAACAAAGAATATTATAATTTAAGAGCAAACAACCAAATACAATAGGGGTGTATCTGGACCAATACAAGCAGTTTCATAATGACACTTTAAGTTTTCCAACTCAATCAGGGGCGGAGCCACTCAGTAAGATGTACACTCAATTTTTCTGGGCAAACAAATTTATCTATAGTTTGACATATTTTTAAATTTGTCCCATCAAAAAACTCGCATACACCTTAATCAAATTAAACATTTCTCACATTTAGATCAGAATTCTAAACTATTACAGACATAAACTTAAATAATAAGATCACTAAATGCACTCAATATGTTGTCAAAAATCATCCTGAAACTCTCTCTCTCTCTCTCTCCATTGTTAATTTGGATGTGTTGAGACAAACATGATCTATTACATTGATTATGAGATTCTTATGCTACATTTTCAAAATATAAAAACTAATCAGATACAATTGTAAAGGTATTGAAAAAAATTATTACTGAGAATCATTTAACATGTTGTACTTTTTTTTTGTTTTTGGGAGTGGGAGTGGGAAGGGGGACTTGAACCCTTGACCTCAAGAAGACAAAGCCTTCACAAGGCAAGGAGTATCATTGGACCAAAGGTCCATTGGTAAAATCTGCCCCCACTACGAAAAATTTCTCGCTTCGCCCTGAACTCAATGAATTATTAATCCGCATAGAATTTGTAGCCTCATGCCCTCCCAGAACACATATTTCCATCTGTAGAACCTAACCAAAGAGTTACCTTATGCAGATTCTTATACCTAAGGACCAAGGCATCACTGCTCCTTCCACAAATAGTTTTCACTCGTATGATGACCTTAAATCCATATATCACTCATTCCTTTCTGGAAGACTAACAAGTTGGACAACTCATGTTCCCACACAAAAAATCATCCTAAAATAAGAAAAATGTTCATATAATAGGTATTTTTGTTGTTCCATTTCAATTTATGTGTGCCAAATGTCAAACAACCACCAGAGTAATAATCCAACTCCCACCCCTAAATCATAGAACACTATATTATCAAAGAAACTAAAGATCATGGTTTCACACAAAGCTAGTGTCTGATTGATAACGTCATACTATGAAAACTTATGGTAAGGTGACTCTTTGTGTCTGATTAATAATAAGGTAAGCATCAAAGTGCAGTCACTTGTAGGGATTAGGGGCTGGAAAGAGATAATGTGAGCCAAATATTTTGCAATTTTTGACTGGCAGGAATCAAAATAAAGCCATCCATCTAATTCCGTGGGTTTAAAGCCTTTTTTTTTTTTTTTCTCTCTCTCTTTCTACCTTCACAACCACTTGCCAAAAGCATCATGTAATTGCAAATGAGATAAATTTAGTCAAGCGTGCATAGGAAATCATCTTATACACATTGGAGAATCTTCAAAGAAGACAAAGGTCCTAACATCTCACAGTGTGGTTATGAAGAACCAGCAATGTCTTAATAAAAAAGATCTGGGTCTATAATCTCATAAAAACGCAAGAATCACAGACAATAACAAGCGAACAGTCATACAAAAACCCAAAAACATTCGTTAATTGTCAACAGAGAACTATGAAATGACCCATATATGGATTAGCTTTTAGCAAGAACTAGTATGAAAAAGAACGAAGTTTACCAGATTCGAGAAATGCAGGGCAATTTTTTGAGCACCAAAAAAAAGACTCGGATCCCGAAGGTGTTATATAGTCCGTGACTCTGTGGATGGGGAGAGATTGTCAGACAAATTCAAAAGCACGTGTTGATAAAGGATGGAACATAACATTGTGGCATTTGCGAAATTTAAGGTAGTTTATTTATTTATGCTTTAAAATTATAGAGCTCTCATGGATAATTGGGTTTAAAAAAAAAAAAAAAAACAAAATATGAGACTCTCATCATTAAGAATATGAGAAAAATTAGACGTATATAATCTTATCTTACAATTAAATAGACTATTTTTATGACTTTAATTCGTGAACTTTAAATTATAATACATCTTATTTATTGATAAAATATTTTATGGTGAGTCATGTCATATAATTAAAATAATTGCAATTGAAAGCACAAAAGCTCCGGGGACATGACCTAAAACTAAAAAGCAAGCTATTAATAAAAAAATATGCAATTATCATGTCTAGGACAAAGAAAAATTATAAGTAGCTCTCTACTTTTTTTTTTTTTTTTTCAGGAAGAGAGTCTGAACCCTTGATCTAAGAAGACAAAGTTTTCATAAGATAAAGAGTATCATTAGATCAAACGCCAATTAGTAAATAGCTCTCTACTCTTCTCAATATATACAAGTGAAGAGAGGCCCAAGTATATTATTGTCAGTTTATATATTGGTCTATTTTTGTATTGATCGTAATATTAATTTAGGCATCGGAAGGAACTCCCCGGTTCAACACCAAAGGTCCCTCTAACCGCTCTTGAATTTTGTAGCTGATGCACCATCAACATTTTAGTAATTATAAAAAAATTATCCCGTATATTGATTATCAAATTTTAGCACTTTTAGCTATGTAAGTGTTAATAATTTATGTAAGCGAAACAAAAGAGCATAATAGTTTCTTCTAACCTAATACAATCAGTTTTTTCTATAATCATCCTTGATTCATATCCACCATTTCTAAGACATAAAGATTAAAAATATATATATTATCAATGTATAGTGCGTTCTGTGGCAAAAGTATTTCACTGCTACTTCAATATTAATTAGTAAAAATATTTCCTTCGAAAATCAAAAATATTCCTTGGAAAAACATGACACAACGACTGTGTTTGGTTTCAAGATAACTCCATGAGTTTGGACAGTAACCCAGTTACCCAAAGAGAAAATATCCAAATCCCAGGCCGTTTGATGGGGTAATGGGATAAGACTACAAACCACCATCATACAACAATGGACAAATCTAGTCACTACCGGGCTGTCAATTAAACTTAATTACTCGAGCTCGGCTTAATTTTTAAACAAATCAAATTTAACCAATTTTTTAAATTCGTTTGAAAACAAATCCAACAAACTCGACAAGCTAAATTCATTTATATGTAAATACTCGAACTCAACTCAAATTCAATTCATTTTAGACTTATTCAGACTCGGCTCATTTAAAAAATAATTTTTTAAAACTCAATTAAAAAAACAAACTTTTTTAACTTGGTCCGAACAAATCCAAGTTCGTTCAACTATCAGCCCTAACCACCACCGTTGACACATCTACTGATGCCACAACCAAACCATCACCACCACCACAACTGCCAACCATCAAGATGATATATTGGTGAGGAAAGTGAAATTAATCCCACCTTCGTTCATACAAGCAGAACACAATATTAAGAATTAATACTCATTCGATCCTGTCCAATCCCACCTCTATTTTATCCCGCAACCAAACATGCCCTTGACACAGTATCCAAGTTTTTTAACGGATACTATGGAAAAAACAAATATACTAACAAAATCTGAAATGAACAGCTTTCATTTTGGTGAAGAGCCAGTCCAATCCGCACATTTCAGTATTCAAGAGTCATAAGGCTCCAAGTTGGAAATAACCAACCAGCTTAATGCATCCCTTCCTCTTGAACTCCTTACAGACAGAAAATACAATCAGTCCCATGAAGCTACCCAACACTCTTCAGTGAAACAATACTTGATTTGGCTAACCAGAATTTGCTGTCAAGCATACCTTTCTGGAGCTAATAATCAATGGCTAGTACTGACCAAAAACAGACTTCAAGGAAAGAGGAGCAAGGAGGAGTAAGAAAATCAAAATGGGGGGGCAAGATGGAAATATTGTGCGACAAATTCGCTTATCATCTTATATCATGTCTTGAGATCATCAGACATGGCAGAAGGTATACAGTGCGTAGTGAGGATGTCCACAGTTGCTTCTTTTGCTGTCTTTGTCTGAAGAACCACAATCTGCATGAAACAAAATTAATGCTAAACAAAGAAGAAACAAGAAAAGGCATAACAGAGAATGGGTTTGTGCACGTGTGTAAATGCATGAGAGAGAGAGAGAGAACCTGTTGGTATTCCAAGTCAAATTTCAAAAATTCATCATTGCAGCTCTCTACCATGCTGGCCAAGCCTTTCAGATTCTTCACAGGCTGACCATTGAAAGCATGGACCTAAGCAAATACAGAAAAATGAATACACTCACAACACGAAAGGATCAGACAATTCATACAACAACATGATAAGCCACTTGCATTCCCAGCCATTGCTAACCTGAGTGTTGACAATATCCTCATACCCTATGTTGATGTCCGCCACAAGCACCTTTTAACAAATTTAACAAGAAAAATGTGCGTACTAGATCAAGACACTAGTGCTGTACAAACTTGAAGCTAACTTTAACTAGAGAAAAGAGACAGTAGCTACCTGAGAAACCACAACAATCTGTTCCTCTGGCGATTGTGGCATTTCATGCAAGAGTTTATCCAACAGCTTGACCGGAGCTTCATATTCATAATCCTTTCCATACTGGAGATGAACACATAACAGGTTGAGATGATATAGAACCATGCTAAGACTTCGCAAACTCAACCATGCTTTGATAGATTTGGACACTGATGGAACTTCTATAACAAGACAATCCATATTGGGGGAAAAAAGCACATGCAGAAATTTTGCGCTGTATCCCTAAAATAACTCAACTACCAAAAACAAAGAATGATGAATTCCATGTACATGTGGAAAAAAGAGATACCATATCCTCTTAGAATGGCCCCACTCATATTCACAAATGATGCCCCAAAGCATCCCCCATGCTATTTCCAGCATTGTCATTTTTTTTCACACATTCCACATGCTTATTTTCATCAATTATGGCATAGATGCTATAGTTTTTCTGAGCACTTTCCCACAACAAGAGATCATACAGATATCTTATCTCTTCTCGCAAAGGACTCACTTCATTAGTCAAAGTTTCTGTTTTCTAAGCAAGAAGATAACTAAAAATGGCCTCCCCAAAAATTTATCAAATCTATCAATCAAATATATATAGATTTGATATATATATATAAAACCCCAAACAGATGGCAGGGGGTTTCTTTCACATCAAGAGTGCATCGGGGAGGTCAGCGAAGACGGAACGGCTCGAGAGGTAATGCATATAACTCATCTTTCTTGGTGGGATTCCAAGCATTTGCAGCCTTCAGCAAAGGATAAAAGGGCAAGGCATCGAACATGCCCTATCCTCAACCTCCATCCATCTAGTGAATCTCAATTCACTTTTCCTATACACTGCGCTACAAATAGTAACCCCCCATAATCTAACTTCTATAATCAGGCATGCAACATTACAGAGAACAGCAGTTCATGAACAATCTTAGACACATAATTCATGTAAAAAAGAAAACGCGCTTGCACATGGAACAGTTGTTTAGAATCTTCCAAATCTAATGTCTATAAACAGGCATGCAAGATTAAAGAGAACAGCAATTCATGATGAATCTAGACTTATGATTCATATAGATAAGCCTATATCAGAGAAGTGTTGAATGGAACTAAGAAATGGAGAAAATAGTTGGCTACATCAAAGCAATATTGACACACACAAAGAAGTAGGTTTGTAAGATACTGACGCAACTAATAGGGATCAAGTTTTTCTCCAGTCAACTTAAGCTGAGGTTTAATCGCGTAGAAACATACACATTCACAAATGGATTAACAACATTAATAAAGTAAAATCCGCACCTCAGAACGAAGATATGGAACAGATACAGTTGTAAAAACAAGTCCTGCAATGATGTAATATGAGGGAGGTCTGCCCTTGTTGTGTGCTGGAATTAACTTTCTCTGAGTCACAAGTTTGATGTCGTATTTGAGAGTTATAGAATTGCGAAGAACTTTAATTGCAGCATGATCTCCAGTATATTTTTTCGATACAAGGTAGCTGAAACCTATGCGCTCTCCCTGTCTAAATGGAACTGAAAATAACAAAAAAAAAGTCGAAACCTAGTCAGGAAAAGTACATATGATCTGGAAAGAGCAAAAGAAGACAGACAAAAAACAAGTGTGAACAGTGTTTAATGGGTGTTCTGGATACAATTTAAAAATAAATTCAACCTAGAGCTATCAAAAAAAAAATTTTCAAACGATAAATATTTAGAACTGTGCAAGGTGACTGCTTATATTGACAAAGCTCGGCGGCATTTACTTTTACCCAAAACAAATTTGTCTATCCTTCACCCAACAAGAAGCAATATTCATCGGGGAAGTTATAGCAAGCAACTATTCCAATCCATTTCATAAAGAAATAGATAGACCAGACACAAAAAAAAAATGATGCCAACAAGAAAGTAAAATTACCACCAATTAAGGATCTGTAAACTCAGATTAAAAAGTAGGTACCGATACAGTATTATTACTAGTCTACTACCAACAGAAGAAGATAGAAAAATGGCAGCCCTACCCGTTCCATCATTAGCGATATCAACCCCGTCAAAGCTGAGGATAATATCTGATGGCTTCAAAACCTTAAATTCTGGCGCAGTGGGATCAATTCTTCTTATACGAACACCCTTCTGATCAGGTTTCATCCCCATTGACACACGCAAATCAGGATTTTCCATCTTCTGCCACTCAACCCTGAGAATAGGAAATCCTGGTAGAGAACAAATAACAGTGAAAAGTCAACCACATTTCTTTAATCAAAAAAAAAAATGAAGCTCTAAGCTTTGAGAACTGTACGATATCATATTGTATTTTCCCTTTTTTTGATAGAAATGGTTATAACTTTATTGAGAAGGAATGGCTGAAAGGAGGGAAATAGATTTAATGAAATCACATGCCTGTTCCTGCCATACATCATAACTGTCAACAAAACAAGCATTTCTAGTTAAATGATGCACTACTCTATTTCCAAGCGTTAATCGACCTCTAATAAGGTCAAAATTGGGATGCAAGTTTGGTGTAGTAAGTCATCCGCGTCCACACGAAAAAATAATTTCACACTATGCCAGGAAGGATCCTAAAAAGTATAGAAAGGAACTGTTTGGCTTTAATGGTTCTTTTATTTTTCCAGAAGGATTTGTGTTCTTAAAATTGTCAGTAAACTACACTTTCCTGTAGCCCCCTGTTACTTTATCTCCTTGTGGTTTGAAAACCTACACTTCCGTCACTATTAAAATTTTTCACTAAATTTGACCTTTTTAGGTCAAAATCAGAAAACAAAATAACAAACTAAAAAGAATTTTGTGCTCTTCTAGGTATTAAATCTCCTTTTTTCCGTCTATAAAAATAAGCCCAGCTCTTTCTCTCTGTCCTCTCTCTCTGCACATTAAGTTGGCAAATATTGTTAAAGCAAAAATTTGAAAATTTGAAAACGGTGAAGAGGACATTAATGTCTTTTTATACTAAACCTTTACTATGTTAGCTTTTATACTTTAGTCCAAAACCTTGAGGGGTGATGCATGGATTTTTATACCACAAGAGATTAAGGCATTTTGGACCCAAATACCTACATCTGACCTAATTCTATGATTAAACATCTCAGAAACATCTGGCGATATCAAACGTGTTGGTGATGACCAAGGGACAAGTAGCAACGTGCTGAGGAGGATGCCATAACCCTAACTAACGAACTGACTATGGAGATTTGTTCATGACAAAGCAAAACTCAAAAGAAAAAAAGGTTTTCTAATTAGTGCGAAAAATATATTAATCTTGCAAAAAACTTGAACCAAAAGGACTTTAAAACATTACCAGATTTGCTTCTCGTCTAAAAGTTTCTAGGACTTTCTTTGCCTTACTTTGCTACAATTGACAGGTGATGACAAGTGATGGTAAATTTCATCAAGTGTGTAGTAAATGTAGCCGTTTTTAAGCGAGAGGCATATGATCCAAACACATAATAAACTTCTTGGTGACCAAAGAAAGAACACAAATACACCTGTTTAGCATAACTACTCTACGAAAGCAAATCTACCAGCCACATGTTGATGCAGGTCCATTTCGATGTTGTCCAACAATGCCAAAATAGAGTTTTGATATTTCTGAATCCATTGCACTAATTTCATTTCCTACTCACGATATGCTCTTTATGATCTCAGCTGATGATTCAACTGCCTCCAACTTAGCTATTAGTCCTCAAAGTTTATGTTTTTATGTGTCGCAACATCAAAAAGGAAATGCCAACTTTTCCTCAGAAGACGGCTCAAAATATTTGATTTTAGGTGCATTTCCCTCATTATTGTTTGGGTACAATTGGAAATTTTCCAAAAGCTAGGAACATCTTCTGGAATGCTGTTAAATTCACATCTATCTGTTTTGTACACGATCGGGGGTCTGCCTTAGTCATGAAACTTGCAGACCTCAATAGTTGGAAATATTGATCTAATAGGGGGAATGATCAAAGAATATATAGAATCAGTAGACTCTCTATGCAATTATGTAGCTAGGGTCATAGATGTACATATTTCCCCCTAGCCCTTGGGCCGTTTCGATCTCCGATGTGTGATATCCAAGGGACTAGTTTCTATGGAGATTCAGTAACATATGCGCTCACCCAAACGGACTCATTTTGAGGCAGCGTGTTATTCAAGTATGTGGTCCATAAAGAAACAAAGGAGCATTACCTATGCATGCGAATACACAGATAGTTACAGATCAAGGCTTTTAACCCTTAAGCAAGCTGAGCTATCAATGGTGAAAATGATGCTTAAACGTTTTAATATTACTGGGTCCAACTAAGCACTTGTGCCACTAAAAGGAGAAAACAAAAAAGAAATTGTGAACCAATTTAATGTTGATGCAAATTTAAGATCAGCTACATAAGAATTATGCAATCATTATGACTCAAATTGATGATATTAGAGATGGTTTCTCTACAAAGAGGTTCAATTAATGGATGATGCGACTAAAAAGCTTCTTTGGCACTACAATCTATCAACTTGAGTGGCATGTCCTGCCAATACACAAAGGGGAATGGAGTACAAATCCAAGTTGGAACATAGAAAGACTGCTACAGTATTGTTTATAATTGGGTCATTATGTGACCATATGCATCTAGAGTATACTGCCATCTCAACAAAGAAATTTTCCAGAAGATCAGATCGCACTGCTTATGCTTCATTAGCACCTCTTAACTGATACTCAGAAAAGCAGCTTCCTAGAAATTTGGCTGAAATCATGGGCGCAGCGGGTAATATAGGTATCTTTTTCCCTAGCTTGAGTACAAACTAAAGGAAATAGTCTGATCAGTTATTCCAGAAGGTCAGATCACACTGCTTATAATTCATTAGCGCCTCTTAACTGATACTCAGAAAAGCAGTGTCCTAGACTTCGTTGACTGAAATCATGGGCAGAGAGAGCAATATGGATATCTTTTTCACTAGCTTGAGTACAAAGTAGAGGAGATAAACGAAGTGAAAACATCTACTCCTTGCTACAATTTATCTTATCTTCTTACTTTCTCTGTGATTAATATGTTCCCCTTACACAATAAACTCTAGAAATCCAAACTTCTGGAACTTCTACTTAGCAGCATCAGTCAATATAAGAAATAATACAAGCAGACGGATTCATGGAAGTTAACAACCACCTGAAATGATCCAACGTTCTATTAACATACCAGTATATGCTCCATTCTTCTCATAATCACTGATGAAGTGCATTATGACAGGTGTTGGTATGACATAACCGATATTCTCCACGTCTTCATGTTTAAGAGACTGAAATGCAATACCAACACAGTTGCCCTTGTCATTAAAGGCCGGTCCACCAGAATTTCCTGAGTTTATAGCAGCGTCTATCTGCAAATCAACCATGTCCATGAGACATTAAGGCATGCAAACTAATGCTTGAACTGCAATACTAATTAAATGCTAGGATCACAATTGAACAACCTGCAATCCCAGAAGCTCAGCGGACCCATGGGCATATGATAGAATCTCTATACGCGAAACAACCCCACTAGTTACAGAAATTGTGTCTCCTCCAATAGGATAACCCACAACTGTCACTGCATCTTGAAGTGCAGGTAAATCCCCAAACTCCAAAGGTGACAGACCTTTCCAGAAGTCGTCATTATCTACTGTAAGCATTGCTGTAGCATAACATAAACCAAAACAAACAACGGCCTAAGAATCAATCAGCGCCAAATTTGAACAAAATTCTTACCGAAGCGATGGCAGTTCAATGCAATACTTGGGCAGAGCTACACAGCTCTTCAATTTTTTGTAAGATAGGTTTTAATATATTCTAAATTTGCTTGCACAAGAAACTTCCATACACTTTAATATACTTAATCATCTCTTACATTTGAATTAAATTTCTTAACTCCCAATTAATTGAACTTAAATAATATTTAATTGGTTGAATCCCTCAACATGTGTTAAAGAAATCGTCCTACTCTCTCCCTATATATTCCCCCATCTCTCTGACCGTTGTTAATTGGAATATATTGATTTATGAGATTATTATTTAATGATTATTTAATGTTTGTATAGCATGAAAACTAGTCGGGAACAATCATAAAGGGGAAGGCGCCGGACAGTCTCTTTTTATTTTTTATTAGTTTAATTTTTGTAATCTTAGATTGTTAATAGAGCAACGCTACCGAGATCTAATTTAAGGATCTAATGTATTGTCATAATTGAATTACCAGCAAGTCTGAGAGTCGAATACAGTTTATTTTCTAATCCAGTGCTGGTAATGAGTTAAACCTCTAAATTAGGTCCCCAAACTAATAACATGTAGTATAATTGCTATCAGAATATGCCCTCACTCCTGTAAATTTCTGGTTCCGTCCTTAGCAATACTCGAGGGTATCCATAAGTAATTATGCTTCACACATCACCAAAAAACAAGTAGTCAATTCAACTACATCAAATGAACAAGTCACTGATTCGTCATCACTAAAACCAAAAGGAATCATTGGAGCAACATCAGATAAACCTCAATAAACCTTAAAACGTGCAAAACTCAAGGTATACTCCACAGTGGTACATACTAGTTACAACTTTAGAAAGTTACTTCACACAGCACAAAAGATGATAATAGCAAACAGGAACACAAAAAATGTAAGAAAATGCAAAACATAACTGCAAACACTTCGATTTAGTCTCAAACAATTGATTTGCAATGAGAAAGATTTAGCTCAATGGCATTATAACTTAGGGTCACTAGTTTAATGGTTAAAATTCGACCAAACAACCTTAAGTTTGTGGTTTGAACCTAAGGGTAGCCACTAAGGGCAGCCTTTTTGCAATTAATGCAAAGTTTATGTATGCACAGTTTTGCAATTTATGCAAAAGTTTATGTCTGCACCCAATCTATCCCTCTCAGACCCCATGAACGAGGGGACTATAGTACTTTCTTTCACATAAAGTTAAAGTTTGTGTCACGCAATAAGATGTTATCACAAAATAACCGCTTAACATCATTCAAGTTAAGCACAACCAATTACTTATAATTGCAGACACCTAGTGTGTAATGAGAACCAATTGCTTCATATAACTCAAAATTAGAGGTAATACTTCAAACAGGAACAGCATTCAAATGCAAAGATAGAATCATCCACCATTAACAAATCCAAAACAGTTTAAAGAGAAATGAAGACAGATGAAATTCTCACCAATATCACATTCAGTCCCAATAGCGAGCACGGTGGCCAAGTACTTGGTATCGGACCCGCGCTTCTTTAACTTGACCTGGGTGTAATGCTCCACCGAATGCGCATTCGTCAATACCCTACGTCCAGAAATCACAAACCCACTACTACTCGAACTGAACTGCCTCTTTCTCTGCCATGGCAGCGAGAAATTCGGCTCCGTATGGGTACAAAACACCTTCACCACCGCGTCCATCACCGGCACCACCCTGTCCCACCGCGGCGGAGCCTCAACCATACTGGCAGCATTGCCATTGGCAATTTCGGAGCGTCGGGTAGGGGAGATCATGAGGGTTTTTTCGGGGTTTTGTTCGGTGTGTTTGGGGATTTTCGGGGGACGTCCGCGGCGGCGATGGGTGGAGGGAGGGTCGATGAGCTCGACGTTGCTGACGGAGAACACAACGTCGTCTATGACAGAGAGGGAGGTGGCTGTGGTCTGAGAATCTAGGGTTTCGGGGACTTGGCTTTTGGGCTTCCGGCCTCGTTTACGCTTGTTATCACCCATATCGACACCACCTCAGGGTAGTCAATTTGGGTGAGAGTTGGTAATGGATTCCAGAGGTTTTCAGAGGAGGAGGGAAATGGAAGAAATGAAATCAGACCGTGTGTTACATTTGACATCCAGAAATCAGAAGGAAGACGGGGATGATGCAAAGCGGCGTCGTATAGAAGGAAAATGGAAATGTTTACCCTTTGTTTGGTATAAGGTAAAATTAGATGGATGAAAAACGGAGGGAAATGAGAGATTCTCAGTTGTTTAGTAGAGAAGTAAAATGAAGAGGAAAGGAAAATGAGATGGAAAGAGGTTCCTCCCGACCACCATTTTGACTCCACCGAAATTTGGGCGAAACAGGCCCGAAAAGTTGGTCAATACATGAATTTACCACAATGCCCCTTTGAAGTGATAATTTGAAAGTGACAGTTGCTATTTGCTTCCCCGATAACGAAAAGAAACGTGGGGTGATACTTTTTAATTTTTATTTTCTCAAAACAAACCAGTATGGTGGTGGGACACTAAGATATTTTTAACTCCATATTTTATACAAGTCATGTAATTTAATAAGTTATACTATTTTTTTAATTTTTTTCTCTTACATATAATTCAATAAAAAATTTATTTTTTCGACTTTTTCATCTTTTCTACCAACACAAGAGGAAGGAAAAATATATTATCTTTCTCAAAAGATTGAAAATACATTTCTTCTCTCTTTAGATCTCTCTTATTTTCTATTTTTTCTATTAAATATATCATTACAATTTAGGGGTAGAATTTGAGACGTTTAACTCCAATCCAATCCAATCCGGAGGAATTAATGTATTAGCTAATTTTTTCACTACTTTCCGTGAGCTTGGATAAAAATATCAATTATTTTATTTTAAATTTGAGTCATACTTAAATTAGATCTCGAGCTTTCAAGATAGATTAATATTTTTTATTAGGCGACATGACACAATTTATTTGGATATTTCTAGATCATAATCATCTGAGGGCAATGTTTGATCCCAAGATATGGGATATGCGAACTTAAGAGCTGAACAAAATTATTGTAGTTAAATTCCTTAGCCTTGCAATTTTTGTCTGCTTTTATTTCATTTTGCTTTAACTGCATTCAGCAAATGCTTGTTTTTTGATTGTAATAATGTATCCAAGGAAAATTGTAAAATCACTAAAAAAAGACAAAAGGTTTAGTAGATGGATCAAAATCATTTCCTCTACACATTTTCGTTATTTTTCTTCCTGACATATTATTTAGAGCAATGTTATTAACACTTAATTTATTGACCTAATTTACTATGACATTTGGATTGATTGTGGAGTCCATCAAACATTGGAATTTGGTGTTGATCCAATGGTTCTATTAAAGCCACATCATTATATCAACAAATTAAGTCAAATTTTTAGGTCCAAATAGTATTACTCTAATATTTATCATGCATTAGCAAGAGACTCGTTTATATTCAACGAGTTTTGTATGAATTAATGATAAGAAATTTGTCAAAATAAATATATATATATAAATTAAGTTCAATAAAAAATGTTAGGGTTTTTTGTGAGCCAATATTTAATTTACGACTTAATTGTGAAAAAATACTCAATACATAATATTTTGTATAAAAGTATTTTTTTTTATTTTGAATGACAAAAATGCCCATAAAGTAACAATTATTGGCACAAAAAGTGGGTAAGAAAAGTGACATAAATCATGCAACAATTTCATTAAATTTGGCAATTATTATATCCCTCAAAATATGGGTTTTCAAATTTTTTTTTTAAAATAAAATCCTTCAATTTTCAATCAAAAAAAATGTTGAAGAACCATTAAAGACCAATTTTCTTTATGTTTTAATTGAAATTGTTAATAATGTGACATTACAGTGATACTGTAACACCTTCGTTAACACTTTAATTAAGGACAAAAATGTTGTGAATTACATTCACTAATTCATACACAATTTAAATATAATGCATCACATAATGTGAAATCACAAATATGAAATCCATACATATTGGTTTTCCTGAATGATAATGCTACATCATAATGTAACATTGCAAAGTGACACTGTTGTTAGCTTTGAGAACAACTAGAGCAGTTTAACATTAAAAAATAATATAAAAAAAATAATGGATTGTTTGGTTGGCTTATTTGTTTCGTGTTTCGTGTTTTTGGTTTCGTTTTTTAGGTAAAACAAAAACAAAATATATGTTTGAATTTGTGTTTCTATTTTATATAAAAAAAAGTTGTTTCGGAAATAAGGCCAAAAAACAAGGAACAAAAAAAAGATGTTATAGGAAACACATTTTTTGGAAACACACGCACTCCACAACCTTATTTAATAAGATTCCCTATTCGAATCTCATTAACAACAAAAAGAAGGTTTTTTTATGTTTTTTGTTTGCTATAAAAACCCTTTGAAGGGTTTCTTATTTCTTTTGCTCTCTCTCTCTCAAACGACGAAGAAATCAGATGAAGATCGATTCCTTAGACGAAGACAATGATCGATCTCTTAGACAAACAAAAACAAAACGATGCTTTCTCTCTATCTTGCTCTCGTTTTTTGTGAAATCCAGAAGATTTGTGCATACATATGCATAGATCTGTGCATGCGTGTGTGTGTCTGTGTTGTGTTGAATCTGTGTGTGTATGTGTTGTGTTGAGTCTGTGTGTGTGAGTGATGAGTCTATGTGTATGTGTTTGTTGTGTTCATTCTGTGTGTGTATTGCGTTTTGTGTTTGAGATTGATTGTTATTTTATATTAATTGAATTGTTATTGAGAATTGTAGAATTGTCATTTTATGATTGATTGAATTGTCATTTGAGATTATTGAATTGCCATTTGGGATTGAATTGTCAAATAGATACCAAACATATTTAAGATAAAATTTGAAATAGTTACCAAATATATTTTTTGTTTTTATTCTTATAATTTGATAGACAAAAATGATTCTCAAACATGTTTTCTGTTTCAGTGTTTACCACAAAACAGAGACATATGTTTTTAATTTATTTGAAGACGCGAAAACAAAAACGTTACCAAACAACCCTTGAATTTTAAAATCTGAGCCAAGCCTTTAAGATATATTTCATGTGATATAATTTTGAATTTCAAATATGCTCAATCCCTTAAAATATGAAACCATTAATATAATAAATCAAATCCCATAAAAATGGGACTGCTAAACTAACAAATTTTCAAATAAGAAAAATGGTATTTTAGTGAAAAAAATATTTGAAAATATTTCAATAAGACTATAACACATTTTAAGTCAAAAGATACTTATCTACAAAATATTTTAGTCAGTATATTTTTTCACAATTAAATAGTTTAAAAAATACTTGCTCACAATTTATAAAAATTTTATTACAATAATTTGGACCTATGATCTAATCGATAACAATAAAAACATAAAAATCAAAAGTTTAAAAATAAAAAAATAATAAAAAGTCAACTTATATTTACTTACACCTATTCTCTCTCTCTCAAATAAAAAAAATAAAAATTTGAAACCTCTTTCTTAGTATTACTAACACATCATTCTTATATCTTTCTCTCACATAAAAAATTAAAAATAAATTAATTTTTTTAAAAAAATCAATACTAAAAAAAAAAGAAAAGTTTAATTTAGTGTGTTTTTTTACTCTTAAATTATTTTGATTCGTCCTAATTTCACTAGTTAGCAGACCAACCAAACCACACCACTTGGCTTGAAAATGGTCAGGACTCAGGATCATTAAATGCCCCTAGGAAGGCTCAACCCCCTCTAGTACCAAATTGTTATGATCCATCCGGCGATGTAGTACTTTCTTAATACGAGCAATGCTATGTAATTTAAATTTATATCTCAAATTAATAAGGATTATTGGATCAATAATTTTTATTTAAAAAAATTGATGAGAATTACTCATCCAATGGTCCTCGTTTATTTGGTATGCAAATTTAAATGGGTAAATTGTAAAAGATACATCAAATTAGATTTATTTGGTAAAAAAATACACACTAAAAAATATAAGGTTATTAATTCCTTAATTTTGATATTTATTTGTATCTAAGTACACAATTTGAATTTGCTTAATTTTTTTGTGACATTTTTGTCCTCCATTGATCTATGTGTATGTTCTTTGAAAAGTGGTGCATTAAATATCTTCTAGTTTTATGGGAAAACTTTAGTATTTAATACACCTTGATTCATGTGTATTTGTTAATATATATATTTATATATATACGTGTAAAGTGTAACATTGAAAGTGTAAAGTGTAATATTTTTGAAAGTATAAAGTATAAAATATTATCTTATGTCTTATCTTTCTTAATGAAAAGTATAAAGTGTTATAGAGTAATATTGAAAGTAACAATAACAGTGTAGCAATAAAAATGTAACAAACTATTTACATAAAGTAAGGGGAGACATTACCTAAAGTTTTATACAAACAAAATATACATGTCTCATCTTACACTAAAAATGCTAATTAATTGAGAAAGTGTGAAAGTGTTACACTTTAAATGTTACACTTTCCACTTTTAATGTTATACTTTTCACTTTCAATGTTACACTTTACACGTGTATATATATATATATATATATTAACAAATACACATTAATCAATGTGCATTAATTATTAAAGTTCTTCCATAAAACTATGAAATATTTAATGCACAATTTTCCCTAAAATGAGCATTTATGTCTCTGTATCTAACTAGTGTACCTTTTTCCAAAACATTTTTTAATATGTACTTTTTGTCAAATAAGTCTAATTAGGTGTACCGACTTCCAAAAATCTCAATTTAAATTGTAAATTTGAGTTAAATAATATTTCTCATATACCATATGGCCAGCCTATGGAATCATAGGCTACCTCCATTCGAAAATTTCTCAAAAATATCAGAGAATATGCATCAAAAAAAAAAATTCTGATGCCCCTTCTAATCTAATTTACGTCTTGCACAGTAATTGGAAGAATTCACGTGACAAATCCGAAGTGATTGAATTTTTTCCCATGCACGCACGACGTTGCTATCTTAAAAAACGTAATCTTCAAAATAAATCGAAAATGACTAGAAGATGAGGCCAAATACATCCCAATCAAACAAAGAGATACTAGTTAATGAAATGAATTCCTGCTATAACGACATTTTGAAAACTTATTCTTAAACAAAATATTCCTATCTCTATTTTAAAGAGATTAATTCTTAAACTCGAGCCCTTGACGTAAGTCATCGGATCTTATATAGCTAACTTCTAATGAAGTAGTATTAAACTAAGTCCAACAGTTAATATG